TTAATGGCGAATCATCTGGCCTCGGTTGTTCAAAGGCTGGATAGCGCTTTCCACCGGACAAATCTCTATCCAGTGGATATTGCAATTAGTTTCCCCAATGGTTATCCGCTGGATAGTGATTTATCCGGTGGATAGCGCTATCCAACGTTTGAACAACCGGGGGCCAGGAGTTTAAGAGTAATGCGAGATTCTTGTGCGGAAAATTTGCGTGCGTTAAGACTGTACTCTTTGAAAGCCTAACCAAGACATCTGCTCTGGAAAGGGAAATTAAGCTTCAATACGATAGCATTTTTTAATTACTAACTTAGTAACTAAGACATTCTTAAGAGCAACTCCATGCAAATATCGACCAAAGTGCGGCAAGGCTCAAAAAATAAAAATCGCTCTTCTTTTGCATACTGATAGACTTTAGTAAGTGTACAAACGCCATGTACTTTTTTCTTCGAAAGATCTGTTCGTTTCCGAGAAAAACAAGAAAACCTTTTCAAGCTGCGCCGTCGATTTCGCAAGCCGAAACAGGGTTGAAATTCATTATGATTCGCTCGACTTGCATTTCAAAACAACCGCGCTAGAAAAAAAGCTTGTAGCTAAAATTGTAAGTATAACTCGTCGTTGACCAAAATATATAATATTTTTAGCATTAAAACAGTCTGAGTAATTATAAAAAAGCTAAAGCGTATGTCTACCTGTTGTTCAACCACGGAAGGTAGTTGAAAAAAGGACGATTTTCGTCTTGTGCCTTTGATCAGAATTTTTCAAGATTGAAGGGGAAAACACTACAGGCATCAAACTATTATGTTATGTTAAAATTATTTTGGGGAAATCATTTTGAGCTTCTCAGAAATTATTTGAAATTCGTGTTACAGACAACCTAAAATAACGGCATCCAACACATGAGTCACACGACCACCACGAACAATTTGACTTTAGTTTTCCGTTTACAACGCTGGTAGCCTTGATACATAGAACACATTTTTTAAAAATGTCACCTTAACTTGTATCTGTTGTACTTCAAGCTCCAAGTTGTTTCATTTAGCCGTCTTAATGTTATCACCTATGCTACCGTAGTCGTGAAATCCGCTGGAATGTGTCCGTTGGAGGTGCGTGACATCTTTCTGGTAATTTCTTCATCCCTCTGTTTTCTCTAATGTTTTCAAGTTATCATCTCATGTTTGTTAAATTTTTGAGAGCCTTGGACCTTAAAAAAGCCGTCTATAAAATATAGCTCGGTAGTTTAACTGTCAAAGCAAAGTTGCTTGCTCGTGGATCCGTTCACTTTAACTAATCTCATTTGCATAGGAGTGTGCCAAGGGTCTACTTCCGGTGATATACACGTGACGAGCTTCACCGACTTTCGCCCGTTACTTCCAGTACACTGAAGAAGATTCATCTTTTATACTCTTCCTTCTTCAAAAATATTCCAGTTGACATTATTTTACCTGACAAGTATCTTTAATATTTTGACATTTTAGGCATTTGATTAACATTATCGAATTAAATTTAGTTTAATTTGATTCTCGACAACCATAAACACTGTTTGTGTGCGCTCTTCTTCGATGAAGCTATGGAAGGTTCGTGCTCCTTCGAGACATTAGTAGGTACTCTGTGTTCGTTTGATGGAAGGGATAAGCAGAGATCAACTGAGATTGTTCCTTGTCGCTGTCAAACTATTAAGGACGTAACTGGACATAGGTCGACATGGTCTCTTTCTGGTAATGAAAGCGAAACACACTTTATTTTAGCTCAGAACTGACCAGCCAGACCATTCCCGTTGCACTAGATCAGTCAAATCCGAAAGAGTATGCTCGAAAGAGAACGTTTTTCGGCAAAACTCTTGGAAAAATCCTATTTCATTTTCAAAATGACTGGTCAGGCAAAGGTCCAGCTGGCCAGTACTGACAAATGGAAAGCGCCCTAAGTTCCTTTAATATATGCCCTTTCCATCGTTCTGAGCTCGGTATTGGATGGCGACGGAACAGTTATACCAATTCGTGCCAAGTTCCAAACGAAATCGCCAATCACATAATTGAAAGAAGAGGGAAACCTGTTAAAGCCGACAAAAGAGTTAGAGGAAGAACATTTCAGAATATATCTATCAGCAAACCGGTGTCCTCATTCCTGTAGGTTCAGGTACTCTTGGTTTATTCACTGTATTATATTCTAATAAGTCACTTAGATTCAATCTACGAATACTGTATAAAGTTTATCATAGTTGTCAACTCTCTTAGATAACCCAGAGTCTCCCGGGTACGGTACCGATCCACCTAATCTGTCCGATAAAATAAACCTTTCAGTTTTTCTCTTAGTTTGAAATTAAACCCAATTTCCCCCAGAGTATATATATATTTTTTTAAATTCAAAGATCATAGTCCAGCTCTGATGGCATTTGTTGTTGTCGTTTTATTTTATTCTATTCTTTTTTACATTTACTTCAAACGACTGACTTGTACCTCATTCAAGACAACGTGTGCGGATATGGCGAATGACGAAGCCATTGACTTGAAGCTCAGTAGCAGATGCGCTTGCAGAATCTTACAAGGACACTGGGGATCACGAAGAGAAATCTTATCTATTAGGCACGGACCATTAGAAAAGTTATGGGGGGTGGGGTGGGGAATTTTTGAGCCGCAGGAATTTTTTTTCGTTATCAAATTCCTTCATGAATTTCAGTTTTAGGCCGTGGCATGAATATTTTTTAGGGTTAATTGGCGTGCATGAATTTTTTTTCATTTAATTTTCTATTCCGCGAATACTTTTTTTTGTACTTCTCCCGCCCCCCCCCCCGCCCCAATAATGTTTGTTTAAATTCACGAAAAGTGACATTTAGCATTGCAGAAATTACATTTGTCCTCTATTAAGAGGGCACTCTGAAATAACGCACGTGCAGGCCAGGATTACCCACGTGCAGCCAACAAATGGAAGTTCCACCTGTGAAGATGGGAAGAAAACATGTACACAATTTTTTGTTATGACATCTTTAGATTTGATAATGCCGACGTCTTGAAGCAATGAAAATCTTCAGCGAGGCGACCAATTAAATTCTTCATTTTCAAAAATTTTATATTATACGCATGTTTTACGTTTGCTTTTCGCCTGCTTTTAGCGGATCCAGACCCCGGGGCCCCGGGATCTTGACAGCTGTAATCTGATATTACTGTTGACAGTAATTTGCATACTGAGTCACAAAACGTTCGCATGGGCGCTTTATCCTTCAGATTGGCGCTTCCTTCTGCGGTGTCGAGCAGCATTTTGAGACAAAAGTTGTTGACAGATAAGGAAGAGAGGGTTTACTACGTGTTTGCTAAGCGAACTTCGTTAGAAAGCATGCGTGTTGGTTATGAGTCTCAAACAGAGTTTAATATAGAATGGCAATGAACAGATGGCAACGGGAAACATTCTGCCGTAAAACTAGACCTGAAAAAAAGAATAGGGTAAGTATTTTAGCATTTGGAACTTTGTGCGTGAATATTACCAAGACTTTTTTGGAGAGACGTTTCATGACCTTTGGCTGGTTGCACGACGATAGTCACGCATATGTTAAAGATGGCGTTACTTTATGTTGTCTGTAAAACGATTTTCAAAAGAGAAGCTCAAAATGATTTCCCCAAAATAATTTTTACATAACATAAACGTTTGATGCCTGTAGTGTATTTCCCTTCAATCTGAAAAAATTCTGATCAAAGGCACATGTTGAAAATCGTCGCTGTTTTCAACGACCTTTCGTGGCTAAACATCAGGTAGCCGTACGCTTTAGCTATTTTATAATTACTCAGACTGTTGTAATGCTAATATATATTTTGATCAACGACGAGTTAAACTTAAAATTTTAGCAATAATTTTTTTCCTAGCGCGGCTGTTTTGGAACGCGAGTCCAGCGAATCATGATGAATTTCAACCCTGTTTTTGGCTTGCGAAATCGACGGTGGGGCTTGAAACGGTTTTCTTCGTTTTTCTCGGAAACGAACATATCTGTCGAAGTAAAAACTACATTGCGTTTGTATACTTACTAAAGTCTACCAGTCTGCAAAAGAAGAGCGATTTTAATTTTTTGAGCCTTGCCACGAATCGGCGATTTTGGTCGATTTTTGCATGGATTCGCTCTTAATAAGTCCTTCGATTTCTGTCGTGAATTACAATTTATGATATTGGTTTTCGGGGGATGAGCGAATCAACGGAATTAATAAATACAAAAAATTATATAATAGAAATAAACCAGATGGAATTGCGTTTTCATCAGAAGCTTTTCTTCTTCTGATCTTAAAGTTGTTGAATCCGACTACCGAATCCGGACTCTCTATTCCGACTTCTTCTCCATCGAAGAGTTGCAATTATATAAAAATGAAATGCCCACTATTTGCAATGACAGATTGAAAAAGAGTACAGCAATAAGTTGATTCCTTCATTACTGAAATCTGCTGATAATCAGTGAGAAACGTAAATTTGCTTGACAGCGGAGGGTGATCAACATCGGTAAGTCGAGGAAGCGTGACTTTTTAGTTTTTGATTTCTGCGTGAAGTATTATATGAGCGGATAAAAAGTTTGCTAAGAATCACAAGCGAGCGAAACAGATATCAAATTACAGTCGAACTTCTCTACAACGGTCACCTTCGGGACAGAAGAAAGTGGTGGTTGTGGAGGCTAGAGGTGGCCATTATGGGGAGATGGGGCTGTCATATGACAAATTCATTAAGGGAGTACAGCATCGGTTATTGTGCAAGTTCATACTCACTGCATCCCATGATGTTAATCCAATCATAAATAATATACAGAGAGATAAGGTACATAAAAAACGTGAATATTGTTTTGAATCAAAATGTTTACGCGACAAAACGAACAAGTATCGTCGACAACTTACTGCAGCAAAATAATGGAACACTATCAAAATACGATGCCGCAATTAATCATCAACGCGCCTTACGGATCAAATTTCGTGACCATTCCTGACTTTTTCATCAGTCGCTGAAAAACACTGGCTGTTGTCGAGAGGTTATTTTGGCAAATGGGGACATACTTCAGTGGCCGTTGCCGTTGTAGAGAGGTGGTCGTTGTAGGAAGGTTTAAGAAAGAATCGTATGAAACAGGAAAGAGACGTATGGACTTTCCGGCAGGACAAAAAAAAATGGCCGTTGTGGAGAGGTGGCCGTTAGTGAAGGGTCGACAGTATACCCTGCAAAGCAAAAAAAAACTTTCGTGCTAAAGGGCTTGGTCATTTCGAATTGACTATAATCGAAACTCTAATTAAAACAAGGCGAAAATCGACAACACCCTCAACAAAATGATTTAATGTTACAGGGAAGCACTCGCAAAAATGGCCAATTTAAATTGATAATTACAATACGTTAGATTCTGTGTCAGATGTCGCCCTAAACTAAATCAGTATAGTATGCTATTATGGATTCTAGCCTGTTTCACCCGAAAAGGTTTGACTTTAATATCGGCGAGAACTGTATCAACCATTCCCATCAACTCACCGCTTAAGCTGGCAGTACAGGCGTTAGTTGAGTAGACACGTACTAACTTTATGCAAATGTTTAAGTTTTTTTTTAGTGAAATATCAAAGCACATCTTACGCTCATGTGCAACAAAGGCAGTGCGGTATATTAAGTAATGGCTTAACTGAATATTTTCACTGGATTTACTGATTAAAGTAAAACGACAATGTGAAATTTTATTCATTAATTTTGACGCAGGGTCGAGGCAGTCCGGCCAAATTACCGAGCGGTGCTCTTCGTGTTAAAATTGCTTTTTCTCAAAAAACCTGATACAATTTTCTTTTCAGTCTAATATCTGGTAAATATTTTTTTAGTCCAATATCAGTAGCACATCTCACGTCCATGCAATAAAGGCAATGTAGTAATGGCTTCATTGAATATTTTCATTGTATTTAGAACAATCAGTAAAGCGACGCAGTGAAATTTTATTCAGTAATAAGTTTGGCGCGCAATGTCGAAGCACTCAAGCACTTGTGTCCTTTGTGTTGATTTGCTTTTTCTCAAACCCTGCTGCATACTTTTGTTCTAGTCATATTTCTGCGACATATTTTAATCCAGTCTAATATTACAAAACATGTCACATCATCCATATAATACAATAAAAGACAATGCAATAACGGCTAAATTGAATATTTACATTGGATTAAAGAATTTCAGTAAAGCGACGCGATGTGAAATTTTATTCTAATCATTTATTTTGGCGCACAGGTTCGAAGCACTCAAACAAATTCGAGTGGTGCCCTTTGTGTTGATTTGCTTTTTCTCAAAATCTGCTGCACATAACTTTTTCTTTTTTGACTGGACTGTAGATAGACAAGTAGGTAAATATTAGTAAGAAAGCAGAAGACGACTGAGTAAAATCGACAACTTTATTTATCAAGCAAACATAAATAGTGCGGGAAAGCAAGCTTTAGTATAAGTCAAAATACGTTCTATTATCGTAAATCGCTTGAATCATTTTGTTTTCCTTTTTTATTTATGTTGTTTTTGTTGTGAACTTTTTAATTTACAATGAATGACAAAACATTAGCTTGGAAAAGTACATAAATCGATATTATAGGTGGAAGCAAGTTCAGATCAGTTATCTTATTTTTAAGCCGAGTTATGTGTTCCTTAAACGATAGGGACAGGTCTAGGTATATGCCTTGACACTTACAACAATGGTAGGTCATGGAGCGAACAGAAAGTACTTGTTTAGCTTTATTAACTTTCTTCCTCTCTTCGCCGCGAGTTTCAGTTTGAAGGTTTTTCTTCAATTTTGTCTTTTACTTATCCAGTTCCTTTTTGGACAAAAAACCAGGTAGCTCTTGCGCAGACTCGAATAGTCTGAAATGCCATCCGTCTTTTTGCCCCACCCTCGAATGGGCGGTACCAAACCCTCTGCGCACGTTGGGTGGTTGGGCGAAGAGACGGATGACATTTCAGACCAAGGCTCAAAAACCATAGGGGCTTCTGTTCACACAGAGGACGGTGATTGCGGCGCTGTTTGTGAGCAAAGCTACGCCGCGCGGATCTTGAAAGTGGATCGTCATATATTGATACGTTTCTGTGCCACTCTTTGGCCCAGTGTAAACAGGTGTCCATACCAGGTGTGCTATACTACTAGCTGTCCATACCAGGTGTCCTAAGATTTTTTGTTGTCGAATTTAACCAGTATTTAGACATCCGACCCCTGAACTCTTTGGTTTATAATCTTGGTTTCTCAGGTTTTAAACTTAGTCGCATCGTTAAGTGCAGAGTAAAGTCCAGTTTAGTTCGACCAAGCGATTTCTATTTTGATCCTCTAAAAAGATGGTATATAGTGATTCTGAGTTTTTTAATCGCAAGTGTCGAATCGTTCTGTCATAAATAAAACAAATCGTAAACTGTTCAAATCGTATCCTTTTTTGAAGATGTTAAGGTGTTTCAATACAGTTTTTCGGAGGCCATCCTGGTATTTTTCAATCGCTTTAAAAATGATTTTATCACTATGAAATTTTCACCACTGACTGAATTTGGATTGAAGTTTGTCAAAATGTAGTTTAAGTAAAATTGATATCACTATGACAACAATGAACAAAACGCTTTGAAATCGAAAAATGTCGAGTTTTGTTTGACCTGCTATTGACCACTACAGAAAGTACCATAACACACCATAATGCTCTTTGTTTGTCACCCCAAAATTTTACTTAAGCATTGTTTTCAGTTTCTCTTGGGGCCATTTTAACTCCCGAGAGAAAATGAAAGCAATGCTTATGCAAAATTTTGGGGTGTCAAACAAAGAGCTAGCATTATGGTATGTTATGGTATTTCCTGAAGTGGTCAATTAAGCAGCATTGGATGGATGAATGAATGAATTTAATGATTAATTGAAGATAACCGATTGCTGGAAAACTTGTAAGAGTTTTTTTTTTTTTCAAGATTGTAAGCTAAAATGCAATCATATCTTGATAACAAGCTTTTGAAAAGTATAAAAACAAGAGAGGCATAATTCAATGAAAAACAAAATTCTAGATTCAGACAACAAAAATGGAAACAGAACTAAAAACTACATTTTGAGAGTCAGTCAGAATTTAGAGTCAGTCTGTGGTGAAAATTTCAAAGCGATCGAACGGGGAAAAAATCATTTTTAAAGCGATTGAAAAATATCGGTATGGCCTCCGAAAAACTGTATTGATGTGAAACACCTTATGAACATCAGATGATCAATGAAAGGGGAGCGCAGAATTACCCTGGTTCTATGAGTTTTTCTCGAAAAATTTCCGCGACTAAAGGCGAGAAAAAAATGCTCTTGATATTAATATATTACTGATCCCATTTGGACTTATCTGCCGGATATTTGCTCCTGTTAAATATGTGTTGTAGTTAATTTTTTATCTCAGGTAATTTTTATTTTTCTTTTGTTTCAACTTCATTAGCATATATTACCATACCCAAAAACAAAAGAAAAATAAAAATTACCTGAAATAAAAAATTAACTACAACATATGCTCTACATGTCAATCCGATTTTTCGTGCAAAGTGGAGATGTTATTGATAAATGAATAGAAAAAGCTAACATTTATTGGCGGACAACAGAGTTTACTTCAAGTCAACATGTACGACAAGACACATATTAACAAAAGCTGTCCATGTGGGCATTTTCCGTAGGATTATCAATTTGCGCAGAGCACGTCATCAAAATTCGAATTGATCGCTCATGATTTAGTTGAAAGAGCTGGACACCCTAATGGTGGGCCTGACCCCACTATTTGTATCGAAAACAATTTTTAGCTATTTTTTCACACTTTTTTATGAGTACGAAATTAATAGACAAGTTGAATAGATACTATTCAGTCGCCCGAGAGTTTGAGGTAAGATTGCCAGGAAAGGCTATCGAGAAGATAACAGGAAGAGGTAATTATAAAGTTCCGGTGAACACAACGTACATGGCTTATTCCCTTGCCTTGGATCTATTTTGAAAATGAAAGTATTATGTTTTAACAGATTAAAAGACAAAGTTAACTTTTTTCTGGCTTCTCGGGAGAAATTTTTGAGCCAAAAAATTTAAAATAAAAAAGTATGTGATGTCCACGATGACATTGAACCCCAAAGCAAACGGAATCCATATCGCTCCAGGTGACGGGACACGCCTTTGTCATAGGCACTTTACTTTGCAATTACCTAATAAGATGTTTCCGTAATATTTGTTCCTTTTTTTTATGTTTGTTTGACTGACATCTTGTGCCAAATTGGTTGAAGAAAAGTTGAGATTGGTTTCAGTCGTAGACAATCGAGGCTAAATTTAGGCTTAACTCCTGTCCTTCGCTTCGTATAGTTTTTATCATCCACGTTCCTCTCAGTTTATTCGCAAGAGCACTTTGTTGTAAGTAACGAATATTTTTCTCTATCTGTTTTAAAGTAAATGTGCAAAAAAGGTGTTACGTTATGGTACTTTAAAATACCTTCAATTTGGGCCGTGGTGAAAAAGCTATTGTCTTGGAGTTTTCCATTAGCAGAGAAGAGCTAAATAGCAGTCAGCAATAACTGTTTGGAAGCGAGTTTCCCGCAAAAGTTACTTTATTTATTATTAATTTCGTTTCACTTTATTATTTCAAGTTATGCGAATAATTCAGAATCCGATCACCAAGGTTAAAAAAGGTTTCGGCTCTGGTGGAGGGTTTTCGAAGAGCGGCACTAAACGTAACCCATTGCAGCGGGTATCCTAGGACCTAAGCATCTCTGTTTTTCTCCCTGTGTAAAGTTTTTTATAAATGCTTGTTCTCCTTAGCGAAGTAGAGAACATCTGCCTGTTATATAAATGACGAGTTCTCTCAAAAGACCGCCCTCTTTCTTTTATGTAGGTTGGCCTACACTTTATTGTCCAGTCCGTTCCGGCGTAAGAAGATTTTAAACCATAAAAAAAGATTAAAAGTAATTTAATTCTACCGCAGCTGGTTATGTCTTTTTAATGAAAAGACTTTTTAAATCAAAATTCATAACATTTCCGGCTGACTACAAGAAAGCAATTTGACCCTGAGCTTTTAGGAAATTAACAAAACAAACTGAGCTAATAACGAAAGCCAATAAATTCAGTTTCATTAAAGCTTCCGTTTAATCGTTGATGTCAAATGTAAAAGCGCAGCGACAAGATGGGCATTTTCTAGACTGGTTCTTCATTTATAAGACCAATTGGGACCTTGGTAAGCAGTAAACTGGAATAAGTATTGATAATATAAGTACTGATTCGATTTGCTATTACAAGGGAGGCGACCGCTTAAATAAGAATAGGGATTCAGTTGCCATCACTGGCACTGGGCTGGATGGTGCGCCAATTACACTGAGGCGTTATTGACTTTTTATTGCCAAATTATTCTTCGTGCTTTGAGTTAGAGACTAAAAAGAGATCGGTCTATAAACATTTATTAATTGATTATAGTAAACAATTGTTCAATAAGTGATTTTTGAAATGGAAAAAAAAAAGAAAGAAACAAGATGGAAAAGAAAAATAGAAAGAAAAGGAAAACGACAGTCACTTAATAACAAGCCATAGAAACTTACTATGCAGAACAAGTTAGGTCTTTCACTGAAACCGGGGATTTAACAATAAAGTGTGCGGGCTAAACAATCGTCTCCGTCGTTACTGGGTTAATCGAAGCAACCCTAACATTCGTTTATACTTTATTGTGTAAAGTGTTCAGTTATAATTCTAATATATGATATGAATTAATCGCAGTTTATGTCAGGTATACTTTAACCTTCATCGTCATGGGGCGTAATATTTCCTGACTTTGCTGCGCTTTTCAAAAACACGCGAATTCTGAAATTCAAAAGCCAAGTCACGTTTGCGTTCTTCAATGCCGTTAATCATCTTAGCGGACCTCTTAGGTAACAGAACTGTTCTTCAACGAGTTTAAAAGGTCGTGGTTTGTGATTGGTGGATTTTGATCCATTTTGTGCGTTTCTGTGTTTCAAGGTTCGTTGCTTGTGATCGTAATTATAACATAGGCACGTTAAACGTGCATGAGCTATTTTGAATACTTCGGTGTAACCTTACCAAGAATGATGAATCTGCCTTTTTTCATCCTAAATGTAGATTTGGTTTTTGTGCGAAATTGGGTATTGCGCTACATAAATGAAAACGCGAAACGCTCAGCTGAGTCGATCCTCAACCTATATATTCACTTTCCTCTGTCTTTCCCTTTTACATCTGGTGCAAGTTGAACAAATTGTTAAAGTAAAATAAATTTATACTCACCAAACGTTGATTAGAAGGAAAACTCTAAGGTTTCCTCGGAGTTTCTTAAGCCAAAATGTGACTCATCGAATACTGAGTAGTTACGAAATACAAGGATTTTTATAATTGTGGTAGATGGTTGCATCATCATAATTCACGAGGTTTTCACGTGCGATTCTACTCAGTGAAACAGTCTTTAACTCCGACAACTTATTTCATGTTTTAAAAGCTACAAGAGCCTTTTTTAAGGCATTGGTTACAAAACGAAATAGGTCTTCATACGTCCAAGTTACTATTTATCATTGTGAAAAGCCAATCTGCATGAGATGTACAGTCACACAGCTGGCACTTGAAAGTGTTGGACTTTCCCCCCTTTCGTGGTTCGTACGTGAGGGAATTCGAGTTATCACACAGTAATCTAGTAAACAGAATTATGAAAATAACTCTTGCACACAATTTGCACGTGAAGATGTTGGTCTTTGGCCCTTTTCCAATTCGTACGTAAAAAAAAAAGGCAAATTGTTTTACTACAAAATTTTCTCAAGCGATTTTTTTTCAGAAATCACCTCGGCTTTATTACAACATCTGCAATTAAATTATGTTTCATGCAACGTCAAGGTTGATAGCCTAACATTTATCAACTTCCAAGACAATTATCAAACTGCCGAAATATATTGCTACTTGTATCATGTTACTCCACTCAATACAACAGTATCTAATTATTGTGTCAACTAGCTTCTTCCAATTTTATTCCCTAACGCTACTGTTTTTACTTACGTTACGCGTCTTTACTAAATAAAATACGTTTCAGAAACTATAATACTTAGTATGCAGGAAGGATGTATCATGTTGTTCACTTATTGTTCTTTTTTTTTGTTTTGCCCGAACGAAAAAGGTCTGTTGAACTTTGTAAGCGAGAGAATAATATTTTTAAAGCTTGTTTACAGGATTAACAATACTCGGTACAGCTTTCACAAAAATAAGCTGCCTTTTTAAACTTCTAAAACCACATTTTATAGGGCGCATACTTTCGAATTAAAGTCTATATCTAAATATCAATTATTGCTTCATTGGAAGAACTTTGAAAATATATGATCTTTTATACTCTACCCAGTTGTAGCAGGTGAAACAGAAATCATACTGACGTGCGTTGTACTGATAGCCGAATTAGGTCAGAAATGCCTTGAAGCAGCATCCATACTAAAATATGAACCCTTAAACAGCTGCATCATTGTACACAGCGTTTGAATCATGAAGATATTTAATGTAATTCTTCCAAACACCTCTAGCCGTAATAAAAGACGAAAAAATTGTGAAGAATATAGATGGCGGTCTCAAAGTGCCCTTGTTCGACCTTTACCAATGTCATGTTTAAGTAGATGCTAAGATCTCATTGGTTCCTAAGCATCAACTAATAGTACCTTCAACCTTATTGGCTCTTGCAACAAACATCCGAACATACAAAGTTACAAAGATACAAAGCCACAAAGATACATACGCTCTCACCACGGACATATGAGCTATTTTTTCAAAATAGCTCAATAATTGGCGGCAGCGCAGTATTTACTGGTCTGGACAATCTTTTGAGTTGATCGATTTACCTGGATTTTATTAGGTGTATGGCCACGCTGAGTACGGTTCAACGGAGCTCCGTTATATAAGTCGTTTTAATTAGTAATTCTTGCGCTAATAGGCGAACAAAATTCTATGTTTGAAATGTCATGTAGAAAGGAGCCTCTGCGTGGCCCTCATTAAAAAGATATCATGCAGGAAATGGAATAGGCTCTCTTAGTGCATACGAGATTATAGTGAACCTAACTACCTGACGGAAGCATTGTTGTCTGTTGCATTTGCATGTATATTGAAGATAAGTAGAAAACAACTAGCATACTATCAAGAGTTCTGCCTGTGATTGGCTAACTACTCGTTGTCCATTGCATGATTATAAGATAGCAAGCCAGCGTGATCCTGTTAGTATGTAAGCTATCAAGAAAAATATATGATAATATATATGCTTGCGTATATATTGTACTTTGCTCAATTTTTTTTGCTTAAGGCGATGGATTCGAATTGTCATAAGATGTGTTACATGATGCCAAAAGGAAATACTTAACAGCAATCTTTACGTTATCGATTCTATGAAAATGTAAAAGACCATGCAAACTATCTGGGCTAAAAAGCTATATAAGGTGCTATCGAAAGATGTGAGTATTTGTATCTTTCTGTTTATGTTTTGGTAGCGTTAAAGATGTGGTATTCATCTGACTGTATATAGAGTAAGACGGCATTAATTGTGGTAAGTGGATTTAAATTAATTATTTTCTGAGATAGACATTTTGGAGACAAATTGGGGATATTTGTATCTTGTGTTTCGTGCGTGGAAATGCCTTAAATTCAAACACATGTAGATTCTCGTGTGGAGGTTTTTTATACAACAAGGAAAACATCCAGAAAAATTTCTGTCTGACTTAAAATAAGGATCGTAGGATTGTTATAGAAAAGTATTATTTTATCGTTTCCTCCCTTGGCAATGTGATAAGAATGTGTCATTGTGCGATTTATGGATCCGAAGTAAAATTTAAAAAAGAAACCTCGGCTGCTTCCCGCAGCAACTCAGAAAACAGAACTTACACGTCGACCTGATGGTAATTTATTTTTGAAATTCCAAAACAATTTCACAGCTGAATTTTGAGTGACTTTTAGTTACGGACTTCTTCTCCAACGATTTTTCTGAAATTCCTCTGGCATATTTATTATGCAATTAAAGCCGATACCAGAAATTTCAGTACAAAATATCAGCATTTTTTTTTACTAGACGCGATTTTCTTTGAACAGAAGGGTCCTTTTAAGCCCTACTTTAGCAAAATATATTTACCATCAATGAAATCGGAATATTTCGTACTATTGTCGAACGATATCTGTTGTTCTTTGCAAAGTTTCTCAGCCATCGCGTTAAAAACGAAAAAGTTATAACGAAAACTTCGCCACAGCTAAGGGGCCGACCATTTAACTCTTGAGGGGGTGGGGGGGGGGGTGATTTTGAAAAAAAATTTCCTGCAAGCGCTTGTCGGAAGAAAAAAATTGCATGCAGCACAAATGTAATAGAGAGCTTATGGGAAAAAAGGGAAAAAAATATCCTGCCCACCATATTGCTAGGAAAAAAAATTCTTGATGACCAGAAATCACCCACCCCCACCCTCAAGAGTTAAATGGTCGGCCCCTAAATGCGCCCGTATTAATTACGGAGCCACCTTAATCATGCCAAAAATTTTGCATGCAAAGGAAGAATTAAAACATTAAAAAAAGGTCTCTCAAAATTAAACTCTAGGTTTTTCTTTTCTTTTTTTCTTTCAAGAATGCTTTAAAGCTCTTATTTTTAAGTTCACTTATAAAAAAACGAAATTAAACTATGTTCATACGTGTAATTATATTTTGATATGAAAAGCTCTCTTTAGGCATAATTCAGCGGTAGTGAATTGCTATCAAGAATAAAATATGAATGTAGTTTTTGTTGTCATTATTTGTTTAATTTGATTTGGCTGTGTAACAGACGACCACAAATTGTACTGCTACTAAAAGTCGTCTCACGAGAAAAAAAAAGTAAACGCTTGTTTCTGTATTTGAACAGGTTTTAAGCGCGTTTGATCACATCCTCTTGTATGTTAATTTGTGCTATATAAATATATAAAATATTATTATTATTATTGTTGTTGTTTTTCTCTTTATTTCCAAGAGGACACAACCCAACACTCGTATTTAATGCAATAAAAAGAAGCAGGCCGGAGTCAACAACAATAAGAGCCAAATAAACGGCAAATGAAACAGTATTGTCTTATTGACGCCGCAAAATTAAATAAAATGATGTAGAGAAAGGTTTACGGCAATCCAATAATACAGACATTATATACCCACCAATGATTGGTTCAAAGCTTTACACTTGATTGACAGGTGTCAAATGTAAATTGCCGGGAAAAGATGAATACTTCCACTTATTTGTTCCGACTACACCGCCAAGACAATTTGACTTTGAATGATTATTGACTTATTCATCGTCTGCGTGCAAGTTAGATCGTATTCCTTCGAGTCAACGTGAGTATAAAACATTCGTATCCCTTCGGTAAAATTATAAAAACCAGCTAGGGTATCCTCGCTTGAAAATATATATTGCTATTTTCCTTGAAAAATTGCCACTGAGAGAAAAAAAATTTCACTGAGCAAATTATCTTGCTATACAAAGTTGATATGAAGCCTCAGTGACTTTGTGTTGTAACTGCTCTTGCGCTTCGACGCACCGTCGTCTTTTTAATGAAATATTGTCCAGGAGTCATGTAACCACTGTTTGTTTGGTTAATACAATCCAGAAACTTCGGGGATTCTGGATTGCTATTGCTCGGCAGGTTTCCATAGCATCAGTCATGCATAGGTTTACAAATTATCTTTTTTCACTATAATTATTATATTTTTGAACATAAGGCAACTCTTTATGTTATTAATTTTTATAGCAAAATTAAGAAAAATTCAAGCCTTAAGAGGAACGTGTATTTATTTCATTTTATTTATTTTTTGGCAGACACAATGCATCTCTTTAAGCACACAATATAACAAGCTATAAATGCTCGGCTACATACGACAGATATTTGGTTTTCACCTTTCAAAAGTCGAAGAGAAATTGATTCACTTTAAATTTAAGCTCAAGCTTTTCAAGGCCCATTTTTGTTTGTTTTTCTGCAAGGCGGAATATGTACAGAACTCCAGTTGTGAGCATTATGTGAATGACAAAGTAGACTCTCTTTGTTTACATAACACAGTGGCAGATTTCAAAAATGCTGCACGCGTGCCTTTCGAAAATTGCCATTGCCATAGCAGCGAAGTAAAGAGTTTTATGCTCTTAAGTTATCGATTTCTTCCTTTTGCAATTTTTCGTTTAAGACAACAATTTATCGATCCATTTGTTTTGATCATTTAGTGACTGATACACATATGTAATGAGATGCCCGCGTGGGCATCGCGTCGATACGATTGTTTTTCAATCCTTTTACGGGATTAAATCGATTCACTCGTTTCAGTCAACTATGAACTCCAAAATTCCATAATGAGTGGGACACAAACACGCTTATACTAACGCAACTAAAGCTTACACTATACTTTACAGCTCCAAAGTTCGTTCCTGCCCAACATCAGTTGGAAAGGGTCCAGTTAGTGAAGTAGCTTTAAACGCTTTGAGCGCATGTTCACAGAAAACAAGAAAAAAAGGGGAAAGGACATTATAAACCGTAAAAGGAATAAATATATTGACGCAAAACGAGAAAGGAAAAAGAATGGAATTAACTGACTCCTTAACAGTCTGGTCGACATCTAGACCCCTTCAAGGTTCTCCAATCTTGTAAACACAATCGTACAACCGGCTATTTCGCTCAGGGATTATATCTTTTGTTGTTTCGTTCTTGTGCAAATAAGGGCTATTGTTAGTAGAATTAGTTTTTATCATTGAGAGGGGCTTAAAACGCAATGGATTTTGGTAAATGAATTTCAATGTAGTTAAATGGTTGCATCAAAACTGCCCTGACAGATGTGTAAGATCATAACATTGTGCTTCAAAAATATTGTCATAGAGACAACCGAGCGAAAACCAATAAGTTTTTATCTTCTCATCCACTGTCATAGTAGACAGATTCTTTTTCCACAATAGTTTGCTTTTTATCGACTATTTTTGCCTTTAATAACCGTTTTTATTGCCCAAAATAAATCATCATTTAGATTTTTTTTTTTGTCTACTTTCTTCCCTTTTTTCGGACATTAATTCATCTTTATTTTTAATTCAAAATGGCGTGTTGTTTACCTGTAAATTGGACAGCAATTAGATATTCCCTGTACATATTCTTCTCTAGCCCCCCTCCCCTGGCATTTCAAGAACAGGTGACCTGTTACGAAATATGAAGTCAAGAAATAAAACTCATAAATTTATTTAATTTTTACGCTGAAAAGACCGAATGATTTTTGATTTCATAGCACGTATTTTAGCCGTAAGCAATAGAACAGCAGATAAGAGTCCCTGTTATATATTCTCTCTCCTTCTCCCAGCTGTTTCTAGAGTACACCAAGAAAACCGAATGATTTCTGCTTAGCTCGAACAGTATCCAATTTCAAAAATCCAAAAATCAATTTTAGTGCAGGTGTAGTTCGTTTTAATTTGTATTTTGGATTATTGTTTTTATCGGAAGTACTCCCTTCCGCTCTCATCAGAGTACACAATTTTGGGGTATAAAAAAAAAAATGTGCATTTGTGCCCCCAGTTCTGTAAACTGTAATTATGCCTGAATGAAAAAACACATTGTCTGAAATCGTCATAAATTTTGGAGTACCATTAATTGAATGTCTTATTTAATGTATAAATTGACTTACATCAGGCCGTTCGCCTTGGCAATAAGAACTTTCCGTAAGTGATGAGATCGACATACGTGCTTTTTCAAATGCCACGAAATGCAACAAATGTTTTGTTGCTTTTGTAACTACATTTCCTTTTTTCGTTTATTCCATAGATTGTGATAGTTTTTAAACCATCAGCAATGGCTTTCTATGGATGTTTGAAGTCTGGCAGTTTGACTGCTGTTGTCGTACTGGCTCTCTTTGGATTTTTCACAAACACTTCAGGAGCACTTCTCGACTGTCCTGAGAAGATGACTGTTGTTTGGAAGGCACATCACTCTCGTCCACCCTACGTGGATAAAACATCCAACATTTCCACTCATTATAGTGGAATTCTTCCAGGTTAAGTGTTTGAAATTTAACCCTTTCACTCTTAATAGTGGCAAAATACAAGTTGTTGTTTTTTTCTACAATCGTAAGTGAAAAACAGGGGCACCTAACGACTTTTTCTGTGAAATATCTGTGCGGAGAAACAAATGTTGGCTAGAATTTTCTATTACTTGAGGACAGCTAAAAATTTCTAGATGATCGTTCCATTCATGCATGTACAATCTTCGAAGCTTATGTAACAAATTCCGTACAAGTTTTTAAAGTTTAATTTTTCACATTTTTCTCCCAAGGCTAGGCTCTTTTTCGTAGAAAAATGGAAACCTAAAATTTTCGGATTCAAAAATGTGATGGAGAGGGGAATCAGGAAAATTCTCACTTATGTAATACGTTAAATTGCATCTAAAATTTTCGGGAAAATAATACTGAAGCCCTTGTAATTTCGAAGACTCACGTTCGCCTAGAACGACCGAACAGATGTAAATTTTATAGCGCCGCTTAGAATGCGTTTCTGGAGATCTAAAAGCACTCTGGATAGCTTAAAAAGTGTTTTCAATATTTCAACAACAATTTAGGAGGAAATCGTCGTTAGGTGCCCCAGTGAAAAAGTACCACTCAACATGTTTCAGCTGAATGGTCACACAGGGCGGTTTACTTTCTAAATTAAGTAAGAATCAGACAAAATGTCTCCCCGCAGCTCGCTTTTCGTGAAAGGTAACACGATTAAGCTTTTTTATCTATCTAAAATCTGTGGTGAGTGCATGCGCTTATTGACTCTATTTAAAGCCCAAAAAACAGTGATCGCGTTATTTCAGTATTTATAGGTTTTTCAGTTGCAGACAGAGCAGTAGATTTACTATAATGGAGGATGCTTTTGTGCTTTCGATTACGGTTATGGAAGATACATTTTGTTAGTTAAAACAAAAGGAAGGTAATTATTCTTAGCTTGGAGATATTCGTTGATATTTTAGGGGCGACATGCACTGGATTTTTGCTCATACTGTAACCATCGTGTTTTCCGTTTTCATATAAAATGAAGATGTTTTGTGAATCCGCATACTGTAAATTTAATACGAGTCTAGGCACCTAATGTTTGCGATCTTAATTTTTTAAAAAGATGTCCATTGCGACACGCTCAACTTAAATGTAACTGGTAAAGCTAACTAAGCACAGAAATAAAGACTACTGACAGTTTATTTTCCCTTTTCAAATTTGAGAAAAGAATGATTTTTATAGACACGGGAAATCATGCATATTGGATTTTAAACCACCATTTGGCAAAAATGAATCTCTATTAGCGAAAGTTTTTGGGACGTATTTATCAAACATTTGGTACCATAAAAGGAAACACGCGGCAGTTTTTGCATTTTTAGTTTACCACAAACCTCTCAAATTGGTAACTAACAATAAAAAGTAAAAAACAAAGCAAATTATACTGCGTGGCGTGTTTTGATATCTGATAAAATACTCTTTTTTGGGTCTTTACGTCCTCGTTAAAATTTTATTTTTTTGAAACTGGGTGTTTAATTGCAAAATCAACCACCTCGATGGTCATCAATGGCTATTGCTAGCGTCGTAGTTTCAGTTCTTTCTCAGTGGTTTATAAGTGATGAAACACTGCGTCGTGTTTGATGTTAAACTTTTACATCATTTTTCGACAGGTTGTAGAATTAGAGTGCACCGCGTACAAGAGGGGTGGGGAATCTGTGGTCTATGCAATACCACTTTTGACAAAGATCAGTTTAATTATGACTTGCGTCGCCCCAATCAGTGCCAAAAAACCCTTTAACAACTTCTGTATATCTAGTGTCAAAATTTCCAATTTTCAGCTCTGTCCATAAAATATAGTGGTCAAAGACAAGCAGACTTTTTAGGCATTTCAATTTCATGCAAACAATAATTTAGTAGCGTATTGCGTGCCTCTGTTGGGTTCCAGCAGACAATCGATCAATCCTACTCATTAGTTGTTTTACAAATGTATCTATCTGGCGTTTTAGTTTAGACCTTAATGTACTTTTTTAGAGAAAATGTAAGAAGACTTTCCATCCTTAAATTTTCATCAGTGACTCTCTTTGGTAAATAAGATCCACCTTTGACTTATCTCTCATTATTTCTTGGAGAACCTTCGTGATACGCTGAAAAGTCCACAAACCCCTCACAAGTTAAAGGAAAAGCTTACCACATTTTATTGGTGATTCTAGGGTGACATTAGAATCTTAACTTAAAACCTACCTTTTTAAGAATTTTTGTTTTAGTCATTAGGAAGATTTATTTGATTTTATGGGTGTTTTATTTAAATTTAAATTTATTTTAATCAATTTTAATTCTAATTTTTTCACTTTGTTAAGGGCCTAGATCTATTACTGGATAGGCGCTATAAAAATGTTATTATTATTGTTGTTATTATTATTGTTGTTGTTATTAACGAGGCGAATCAGGTTTATGTTCGTCATTATAAATAATAGTTGTTAGCGAGCAGTGATTTCGCCCCAGTCGTGGCCGATTTGCTCGTAAACAAGTGTTGAAACAAAACTATGGTCATACAACAAAAAACACAAAACTAACTGGAATTAATTTTCATGAATTTCATTTTTTTTTTTTGCAGATTTTCTTGAGTTCTTTTTGACTGAGTGTTGCCGAAAAAGGGTCAATTTGGTTTACAACGATTCTGATACAGCTGATTCAGATTTATTTCTCCCAACTATCGTCAATCTTGAAGCTGACTGCAATACCAACAAACCAACAAATCTTGTTCCTATTGTGCCAAATACGGGGATAGCGTTCGTAGTTGTCAAGAACAGTAAAAGTAACCAATCGATGGGAATGTGGAAATCCCTTTTAGCAACGTGGCCTGTTCTTGTGCTAACGCTCTTTTTGTCATTGATCGCTGGGATGATTGCGTGGTCATTGGTAGGTTGAATAAATAAAACGCCCTTTGGCTCCTAACAGTATTAGGGCGTATTATATCTTGGTCTTTTAAACCGAGCATTGACTTTTAGGTCCCATTTGGTCATATCATAGGTGCAGTTTTAAAGTGAGGTTTATTCCAGAACCATGAGACAAGAATAGTTAAAGAGACCCTAGCTTTAATTTGAGGTCTTAGGGTCGTGAAAAATATTCCAAAGCGATAATTTAAGCTCTCGAATCAATGAAAGGCTAAGATTTGTGCAAATGACTGATAGTCATAATAATTCTTTGAATTACGCTCGGCAGTATTTGAAGCTTAATGTATGGTTAGTGAGGGCGAGAAAACTACTGAAACAAAAACAAAACAAGGTTAAGAATCCCAGTTGGCCGGAAACAAACATCAAACATGTTGGCTATTGACATGCAAGTCTAGTCTTACCGTCAGGGCGGAAATGGAACTCGGGTCCTCTGGATTGCAAGTCCAAGCCGTATACTATCGGCGTATACGTCGACCGATATATTTACTAGTTTCTAACGTTAATACAATTTTAAAATAATCTGTGACAAACAGCTGAAAGTAGCTGATCGTTTTTGGACTTGTTTTTAGGAGGCCAGGAAAAATTCAGAGAACTTTCCTTCTTCATTTTCTAAAGGAACTTGGGAAGGTTTTTGGTGGGCGTTCATATCTATGACCACAGTAGGGTAAGTTGTATGTTCTTTTTGTTGTTGTTGTTTTTTTTTTAGTGCTCCATTAAGGTACATCACTAGACGTTGAAACCCAGAATCAGAACCAAGTAATAGCAAAGTTACAAGGTTTGTTACACGGTTTGGGCAATTGCGAGCCTGAGTATAAGGCGCTTCTAGGATAAAGGGCTAAGAGAGAAGCGAAGAGGGTAGAGAGCTATTACTCCCTCCGACCTTAACCTCCCCTCTCCTTATGCAGGTATAAGTGTTTGGACGGAGAAGGGATGGGGGGGGAGGGGGTGAGTACGAGCAAAGGTGTAGCATGTGATTATGATTATGATTATGATTATGATTATGATTATGATTATGATTATGATTATGATTATGATTATGATTATGATTATGATTATGATTATGATTATGATTATGATTATTATTAATTTTTTTTTGCTTGTTTGCAAAGTTTTGGCTAAATTCCCTACCCTCGGGACTGGAAAATAGTAAAATTTTGATAAAATATTCCTTCGCCTCAGTTTGGAGCAAAATTTGAGGTCAAAATCCCCAGAGACGAAACAGAGGAAGTGTTCAGATGCCATACCTAAGCCCATTTCCCCCTCCGCCTCCCCCTCCCCTCAGCTGCATATTTCCTAAGGAAGGCCTCAGGCTAAGCAGTTACCCAATAAAATTCGTTTACTTGACAAGTTTTGCAGGTTTGACTAAAAACGTAAAAACGTACATTTGTGATTTACTTTTGCTAAAAGGGGTGACTTGTAAAATAATTACCGACGGGGGGAGGGGGGGATTTCAATATAAAAGTGACAGGGATGCTCGTCGTCTCTCTTAGGGTTGTAATTGCAGATTTTAGTCTCACTTAGGGTGTTTGGGACGAAAAGTCACTATATTTGCCCATTCAGGCATCGCTTAGGGCTGTGCATAAAGAAATGTACAAAAACGGCCGTGACACTGACTTCACAGAAATCTCATTTGTTAAAAAAGAACACAACAAGCCCGTTTCTTTTTTTTTAGATCCTTAACTCTTATTAAGATGTCTGTTTTAGGGGTCAGTTTAAGCTTGAGCCACACCCACATTGGTCTCCCTTAGGGGTTCAATTTTAATTTTCTGACGAGCACTCTCGTCACTTTTATATGGGAGTCCCTCCCCCCCGCCCCCCCGTCCGGCCGGGTTACCGACACTGTTGGAATGACTGATATAACAGTTATCTCTCGCAAATTGTACTAATAAGCAAACCCTTAAACCAATATTCACAAACCTTCGTGACTATCTCGAAAATTTGTAAGTCTGGTATTCCTTTTTTGTCATAGATTTTTTTCACGAGATGTTACAATAAGATTTCAAAGAACCATTTTTTTGAAAACCGGCAGGTTAACCGCAATTGTTAATTGTAACCTTGAATTAATGCCCAATCTTGTTTTAACTTCCTTTTAGAAATTCTCGTTTGAAGTCAAGATTGTTTTTCCCTCTATTATTTAAATTATCATTATTATTACTTAATTTCTTCCCATTCTGGCATTCGACGAAAATCAATATGGCCTTCACTGGAAACGATATTAGTCCTTTGAGACAAATTCTCCCTTCAGAAGCTTCGTTTTCGATACTTTTCCTTGTTTCAGGTATGGAGACCGTTGTCCACAGTCAGTTGGTGGTCGGCTGTTCGCTGTTTTTTGGATTTTAGTTGGTATTTGCGTCTGTTCCGTTTTCACCGCATCTTTGACAAGTTCTTTGACCACGCTCTCATTGGAAACTAAAATCAGCTTGCCAGGAGCGAGGGTAAACGATTAATGGCCAATATTATGAGCTGTACTATGATGATGATGATTATTATTGTTATTTTTCTAAATATATAAAAAAGGATTTTAAGCATGTTCCGTAATGATTTTGGGTAGATGGTCATTCGGCTTTGGCGAATTATTTTTTTGCGCTAAACAGTAGTTATGTATAACCGGTCTTTAAATATGAAAAGTTGTTTGTGCGAGACGGACATCTTTTTTCACGTGAACAGTTATTCATACAGTGTTTGAGTATTTTCTTGTATTTCTCCTGTTCTGTAGGTCGTGACCTTAATCAATTCTATTGAAGCTACCACAGGATTTCGAAATCAAGCGAATCTCACCCGTGAGTGTTCAATGCGATCACATTACTTACCCACAGCGTTTAATTAACTTTAACTTAAACATTATATAGTAGCTAATTACATGCAGATTAAGCGTAGTTTAGATTAGCTGGTGATGTAATTTCGTTTAGAAAGTGTCATCAGTTTCATCATTGCATACTAGTCACTCTTCTTCTTTTCTCTTTCAAGGTGTGCAAACGGCAAGAGAAATACATGAGCAGTTGGAAAGTGAAAGTGTCCAAGGTATCGATTTTGCCTTCTTCAATAGAGAGGAGAAGCGTGTCGTCACGTAACCAAAATTTCTGAATTACAGAAATAGGGAACTTAATCAACGACATACAATGGCGGCGGCGGCGGCAACGAGAACGGCTAAAAAGCAATAGGTTTAGATTGGCAAAACAACAACTCTGCACGTGCATCACGCTTTTTGTACATTTCTTAGCCTTCCTGGCACGACTGCCATATGAACTTCCTAATTTCACGCGCCCACTCTATGGAGTTCATAAACACAACACAAAAATTGCCTTTTCTTGTGGTAAACTTAGAGAAAGAAAATGTTGCCAACATTTGGCAAAATAATTGAAAGTGAAAAAGATTGATGAAGTTTGATACAGTCAGAATTCACTTTGATGCTTTTGGTTTGTCATCCAGAAATTTTTTCGTTACCATGGCAACGGGGCATAACGACTTCTCTCTATTGTTATCCAAATATTTTCAGTAAATGTATAGCCTGCGTAGCTGGCGTCAAATTTGTACGCTTGAGTGTACAAAGTGAATATGCCGCTTAAACATTGATTTAGAAATCATCCTCTCTTATTGGTACCATTCTAGTCCTAGCAGTATGTAGTATGTTTGTCACATGATTAAACCTAGTTTAGTGGCCCTAGCTTCCACTAGTCTCCTGTAGCTCAATGGTAGAACATCTGGACTGAGTAACCAGAAGTTCATAGGTCCGGCTCCTATTAGGAGTACTTGGATTTGCTGTTCCGAGCCGGCTGTGTCTCTGACTGAAAAGTCATATTTCTCAACTAGAATGCATATGGAACGATGGTAAAATAAATTAAGGGCCTGTTTGCATGGAGAGAGGGTCACCCTTGTGCTAGAGTTATCCTAGCAAGCGGGTTAAAGTTAGCTCTTGTTTTACAAGCAAATTTCACAGGTAGGGTACCCTCCCCCCTTGTAAACAGGGCCTGAAACGTGACCCTTTTTCGTACCTTTATTTCGACACATTTTACTGCTTGGAAGTACAAAAACGTTTCTGCCGTGTCCTCTCGTAGGTTGATATAGACTAAGTTTAAGTATTACTACTATCCAGTGTAACACAAACAATCAATTGAACTATACTGACCGTCTTTTAAATAACTTGATTTCTTCTATCTACAGGAGCTTTAATGGATGCCTATTCACTCGTTCACTTCAGAAAATATTATCCAACAAAGAAGCTGCAAGTTCAGGAAATAATTGCACAAAGAAAACTGGAATATGGTGTAAAAGTTAAAAATATTGAGTTAGCCAATTGCTTTAGAGAGAAGAGGTACACGGAGGAATCAAGTTTGCAGGAGATGGCAGAGACTACTCTGGAGAGCCCATTAACGGTAAGCGCATTACTTCAGAAATCTAAGCTACTTTTTATCCATCTCTGTCGAGTTTTATCTATTCATTTACTTACGTATTTGCTGATACATTTGCTTACAGCAGTAGTACTCAATAGTAGATGTGTGTTAACTTTAAGACGATCGCAAATTGTAGCCGCAGGTTAACCTTTTCCACCTCGTATATTCAGTAGACAAACCAAACTAATGTGTGAATGAGAAATGGTGAATTCAGTTTGCAAGGGAAACGCAGTAGATGCCGAGATCACCGTTTAAGCACTATCAAGCCAACTCTTGCAATAATCATTGGAATGTTCCGCTTTGATATCGGTATCGTCATCATCAGTCATTATTATAGTGATCGCAGTAAGATTGAAATTTATCAGAACTATATCTCACTTTTATTTCTATTGTGTATTTAGAGTGCGCTGGGTGACGAAGACAAAGAGGAGCAGAGTAACCTCTTCGACCCCGAAGGTCTGCTGTTTTTTCCGATGCTGTATACTTGCGTGGGAATAACAGCCGTCTTTATTGTTGGTGGAGTGTTGTGGGACCTTCTTCACAAGTGCAGTCTTATCAAAAATAAAGGTTTGAATTCAGCCCGACAGATTTTGTTAGCCATCCAAACTTCCATTACCCTAGGAGCATAGCCTTCTGTCGTCCTGAGGGGGAGGAGAAAGGGACGCTCTCATAATTAGTATTAGTATTTACCAAATCAGTGAATAGCAGTTTTAGCGCGTTTTGATTGGTTCCCGTAACTCGGAATATCCTTGGCTATTCACTGTTTTGCGACCAGAGCCAAGATGTCTCGTTTTAAGACATTTTGGTAAGACGGAATTTGAGCGATAAATGAAGCAGTCGTACAAAGAAATACCAGCGACGAACGTTGGCTTGTCAGTGTTTACTGTGAATAGGTAGTAAATTATTTTCATGCTGAATTTGCGACAAAAGTGGTAAAAATCACTTGACAAAATCGCCGAAATGTTTGTAAATTGTAAACAAAAAAGTTCCTACCAAGTGACGTTTTTAATTTACAGAAGTTATTTTCTTCATTTTTATCCAACTGATTTGGTAATACTAAAACAACTATCCCCCTCAGAGTATTCACCTCCCCCTCGTGGGATAGTTGTATAACATAGCAGTTCATGAGGGCGAACGTGTTTCTCTGATATTCGACTTGATTTCGACCAAGTGAATGTGTTTTCCCTTTTTTGCCGTTCAATCGTTTTGTACCGTTTTTTTTTTTTTTTTTTTTTTTCTTCGTTCATGTACGTTTTTTTCTTTCCTTTTCTTTGTTTGTTTGAATTTACATTGGTTTATACTTGTGTCTCCATGAAACAACCTCTTTTTAAAATATTCATAATTTATCTATAATGCCTCCTAGCTAAATTAGCTTTTTAGCTATTTTCAAGGTATCTTGTCCCTTACATAATTGGTATTGCCTTTTTTGTCTTTTTTTCTGTGTGTGGTTAAATAAAATTCTTGTCTTGTCTGCCTGAATCGCGTAAAGCTTTTGAAGTCGCCGTCTGCTGGTAGCCGCAGCCCCATGGAACTTCTGGATTTGTCAATCTTGTTTTCTCTCTTTAAACGGGTTTGATAAACCGTCAAACGGGTTTGATAAACCGTCAAACTGGTTTGATAAAACCGAGATGGTCATAACTGAGGCCGCTGCTTCACGCACACGGCTATTACAATTAAGCCTGAATTCGAAACTATATCCAAGCAACGTGCAATAGAGCATGCTCACAGAGAAGGTCTGATTCGATTCATGCAGAGTCTTTCTCAAGCGGAAGAAAGGCTCAGTTGGTGACCTGAACTTTCATGGGCAATGAATGAATGGCGTTCGGTATTGAATTAAAACTTTGTCCCAAAAGCGAAAATTCAACTGATGAACATGAAAAAATGAAAACTACGAGTGCCCAATTCCTTGTCATTATGCCGTGTTTTTTTTCTTTCGGTTACTGAATCGTGGCTAATCTGGGATCAGCCGTTTCGTCTTACCTTTAATTTTCACGTTCTAATTATCGCTATTCAGAAGTATCAGCTGAAGTATAGGAGTATATTTACAAATTAAATATTCCAGAGTTTTATTTAATTGAAAACAAAACACGATGAAGTAAGTCTAGTAATTTTGCCATGAAGCACGGAGTTAAGAAAATGATTATTAATAATGTTTTTCTTGTTTAAGCATGTAATACATTAGAAGTTTGTACTTGTTTTCAGATACTGGCAGAATGCACAACATGACAGTTTCTTTCAAGAAAGGAAACCTGCTCAGTCGACATGTCAAGTGTTATATAAGTAAAGAGAAGTTACAAGAACTTGAGGACAAAATTCAAGATGTCAATCGAACATTAGACGTCTTAAAGAATGAAATCGTAGTGGACAGAAGATTCACACACAAGAACCAAAATTGCAACGTGTGCCTCTAAATTTTGCAAGATGACGTTTTTTTTTCTTTGCTACATAAGACCATACCTTCAGGGGTGTGCTTTCTTGTGCAAATTAGAAGTAAGCCTCGCTGGGATGACCAAATTTAAATATAACTGAAAGGAAAAACTAAATGGGTTCTGGTCGTAGTATCGTGCAAATGGCCTATTTTGATGGATATTTGCCTCAAGATCATGGAAGTGCAAGGTGTGCAGGTCGGGGAAGCATGCTCTTTTGTGGACAGGACTGTCTCAATCTTCATCGAGTTTAGCACACCTTTCTCTAAGACTAGAGATAATCCAAGGAAACGTATACATTTCCCTGAGTGTAAAACAGTTCAGTGTCATAGATAACGTATTTTCTCAATTAAACCCCGTCGGCATTTGTTTTAAACTTGCCCTGCCAAACCCGAAATTTGTTGGAATCAGCAGTTTATGTCGGCTCGTTAGTGTTGCAAGAAATGGTTTTTCTTCTCCCGTTTAATTAGCAGTCGTGTATTTTGCCTTTCAACTTTAAGTTTATTATGCGTAAATGTCCGAGGGACTTATTTTCAGCTTCCTGGTTTAGACACAACGTTTCCTCGGGGCACAGCGTTTAGTCGCGAAAATTAGGTTACGCTGTCTTGTCTGTAGGCGCCACGTTTAGTGAATGGTCGCGCTTTCGTATCTAAATTCGACGAGTTGAAATTTGTCCTTGTTTGTGCCCCTAAGCTACCCCAGCCATAGTTCTGAGTAACCTTTCAAGCCCTGAGAAATCAGCATCAAATTTCCCTTGTAATGAACGGGTTTAAATCAGTTCATTAATAAAAGCCGGCATTTCAGAGCATTCCGTGTGCAAAGAGATTGAAGGAAACTGAATGTTAGCATTGTTTGGGAAACCTGATAAATCATTAAACCATGCAAGGCTTTTGAATAACGAAGCAATTTTACGATGAAAAAAACGATAAAACTGTTCAGTAATTGGCGCCAATTTTAAATGAAAATTGTTTGAAAAGAGCAACTTTTCATGTATTTCCAGAATAATAATAATAATAATAATAATAATAATAATAATTTAATAACTCATATAGCTCTATTTACATATGCTGATCAATAGTACTTTACAAAATAAAAAATGTATTTAAAAACACCATTAAATAGATAATAAATGCAGCTCTAAAAAAACGTCTTGAGGCTTGTTTTAAGCACAAAGTGTTCCATAGAGCCGGTGCGGCAAAAGTAAAAGACTTGTTACCAGTGTTGGGCGCATTAACTCTCGTGGAGCTTCTAATCATAGGTTATTGTTCAAGTGTAATGTGTATGAGCTCTTGTGCTTAACCTAGTGAATCAAATATCACCATAGGATAGGATGGCGCCATTTGAAAGTAAGAATTAGAATCTAAAACTCGAGCTTGGGCTGCAAGGCGGGCCCATCAGTTACAAATTCTGTTCCGTTCGGTCGCCTGCGCCGATATCCGGTACTGTTAATTGTTTATGCACCCAGTCAGTAACTCAGAAGGCGTTGCGTGTTTCAAAACAAAGCATTTTTTCCCATTTCACCGCAGTATATGCTGATCGCGATTGCCTTTTCATTTCTATATTTCCTTCTGTTTAATGCAGCACACGCCTTTACAGAAGTCGAAATTTCGGATAAAGGTAAAGAAGACTCGGACGATAATTTACCCTTCGAGAATTTCACACACAAGTTCAACAGCCTGCGAAGCTGGCGATTTCAGTTTGGCGAGAGGGCAAACTGAGCAGTGAAGAGAAAAAGCAAAGCGTTTATTAAGGAGTAAGGAAAGTCACTCACTAGTGTAGACTTTGGTGACTTTGCTTTCTAAAGCTTAAGCTTACAGTTGTTCTCAAATGGTCCAGAGTTTTCGCTTTTGTTAAATTCTGTATCTTGCTAAGAGCTAAGCTTTTAATAGCATTAAATTTGTGCATGACCTTGTTATGCTAATCTCGCAAGTTCTGGGTATTCTTCCCTTCAGTAAACATGACTGATTAGACGGTTTCGTTAAAACTTTGAAAGTTAACAGCTCGCTTTAAGTTTATCACCTGTATACATATATAGTTTTTGATCAGTGAAGGTATAAACTAAAGCCATCGAAGGTAGGAACTTAAAAAAAATCCTATATAGATCGATTTAACTCGAAAACTCGTATAACATAAGCTTGACTTAAACATGTACAAGACACTGTACTTCACTGAAGGTGTTTTCAATAAGTACACTGTAAATGTGACGGAGAAGCACAGTATTATATGAACCTTCCCTCTCCACGCGATTTTTTCACATTTTCCCCAAACAGAGAGCCTGTTCACAGGCTAATGAATGAAACATAGGGTTTCAATTAATGCATACAGTAAAACGATGCGTATAAGAACCTGGATTTTTTAATTTAGCCTTAACAGGTTCTTTTATAAATTTAGACTACCAAGGTTCTTAAAATAGGTTCTTATATTATCATATGAATTTCATTTAAGTATTATAAATATCATCTCATAATACAATACTGTACAGTGCAGGTATGTCCTTAACAAAACATAACAAACAAACTCATAGTCGGTTCTCTGAATGCCATTTCAAAGTTGATACACTTTTACAGCAACTCCACTGATAAGAACCTAACTTACAATTTTAGCCTTAATAGGTTGTTACGTGGAGGGGGCTTAAAATGAAAATTTTAGCTTAACAGGTTCTTAAAACCCAGGTTCTTATACACAGGGTTTTACTATAGTTAATTAAAGTGGAATGGTTATTTGGGAAACCCTTGGTCAAATGTTTTTGTTAACTTTTTTGGACCTGACCGTGCACAACGTTCAATAGCATTCCTATCATGTTGAAGTTATTGACCAATAGAAACATTGCATTAATTTATTCAGTCATAATTTGTGAACAAAAACAAAGGATTGTGCACGGTCAGGGCCGCTTCCAACATAAACTGCAGCACCTTTGTTTTCAATTTTTATGTTTGTCGGCTTTCCTAACCAGTCTCCTCCACTAACTATGGTTACTGTAAAGGTTAATCATTGTGCATCGAGATAAATCGCTTGAACACAGAACAATTTAAGTTAGTGTAATCAGCACCATAACCCAGATTTAATTAAACAAGGTCACGAGCTATTGAATTTCAAGGTGCGCCAAACTTTATCGGGATATAAATAGTAGTTATGTCAAAAATAGCTTTCCTAGAATCTCACGGTGGATGATCGAGCGTCTTTAAAATAGGGTACTAGATTTTTCGAGAATAAATCACGTCTTTCCAAGAATACTTGAGAAATACAAAAACTTTGAAGAAAGCAGAAACTGGACAGATACTCTTTGCTACCATATGTGACAGTTAAGCTTAACCTGAGGCCTGCGAAAACCGCGCAGCAAGAAGTGAGGGCTATTTTCACTAGCTTTCTTGGGGCTATGCTGTTTTGCGTGCAGCAAAAGCCTTGAAATTCAAAAGTGTTCTATAGCAACCGAAAAACCCTATCGAACTGTGAAATATAAGGCTCCCTCAAGAGGAATTGACAATTTTTTTATGCAGAATTTTGTTTTTATACGTTAAATGCAAATTAAACCGTAAACAATCAATTGGTATACAATAGAGCATGGGGTTGAAACAAAGGCGGCCTTTCCCTGTTTCCTAGAATAATCTTGACTTTCCAAGAATAGAACTATTCGGCTAACTCAATGTTGTGCTGTGGAACCCCGTTAATGCGACCACCGTTGGGCCATAAAATCCTGGTCGTAACAACTAGGTGGTCGCATTAACGGGGTCTTCAAAATAATAAAATGACTCAATGGTTTCTACGTTTGGTTTGAAAGAATATGGCCGTAATGACGAGGTGGTCTTGTAAACGGGGTGGTCGTAAGGCGGGGTTCCACTGTACCCAATTCAAACCCTTTGGGAATAAAACGTTTTGTTTCAGGAATTTCCATATCATTTAAATGTGAATGCCACATTATAATGCAAATACAATACACAAAGAATCTTATCCCCGGAAGATTTGAATTGGGTACAACATTGAGTTAGCCGAATAGGTCTATCGAGTGGCAGGGAAAACACAATCACGCTTGAGCGATTTAACCAATTGCTATCAATATACGGACAACTTCAGCCAATCATCGAACATGTGACTCCCATAAGAAGGCCGGAGTCTATGCGTTTTCTACTGTTCTTTTCATAGTTCCTTGTCAGTCGCGAAGTAAATTTTTGTATTCTTTACAAGAAGGAATAAGCATGACTTCATCAGCGTCGTCCAAAAACGTGGAAGAAGATGTTTTGGAAGAAGAAAGTGATGGAGCTCTCGAAGAAGTGAACAGCCACATCAAATCAGTTTTTGAAATTCTCAAAAGCGAGACAATCAAAGTTCGCAAGGAAATGAAGGCTTTCGATACAATGGCAAAAAAGCTTAAGCACGTTCATTTTTCTAAAACGTTGAAGCTTAATGTTGGCGGCCAGTTATTCTCTACCAGTTTGGAAACTATGAGGAAAGATCCAGGTAAATCAGCTCCATGCATGTCTTGCATGCGTGCACCATTTTTGAAGTCAATAACTTTTTTGAATAACCCCTTCGAAATGTGGTTAATTTTTAGGAATATACATTTTCGAAGAGGCTGCTGGAATGTGTCTTTTTTATGTGTGTTTCCTCTGCGAAAAGCGCAGGCGGTGTGTTTTCTCAGTTCGCCTAATAAAGAACCGAAACTAGACAGGATATGTTAGTTACCGCAAAATTTTGATTTTCTTTGTTAGGTTCGATGTTGCACGCCATGTTTTCAGGCCGATTTGATTCAAAGCCTGCTGAAGATGGTTCGTACTTCATTGATCGCGATGGAACTCACTTCCGGTATATTCTGAACTACCTTCGAACAGGGCAGCTTGTTGTTCCAGAAGACAAGATAGTTCGCAGGGAGTTGTTAACTGAAGCTGAGTTCTATCAAGTCCAAGGAATTATCGATGAGCTTAAGGCCTATCCCTTTCAAGATTCGAGCATTTTGTCCACGGAACAGCGTCAAACCCTGACTAAATGGTTGGAAAAAAAGCTGACAAGTGCCAGTTGCACTTATACGCTGATATATCGCGGTTCACGTGATGGTTGGGGAGCCTCTAACTTTCATTCTCGCTGTGATCGCAAAGGACCAACGGTGACTGTTGTCAGAAGTTCGAATGGTTACATATTCGGAGGCTACACAGAACAACATTGGGAAGGTAAGTTTCCTTAAACTTTCGTGAGGTAATATGGGAAATCATTGCTTTGGATGAATTGGCTTCAAGGTTTCTAAAAATCATATAATGTCTACCTCAACCCTGCTAAGACCAGATTTTTGTTTTGTTTTGTTTTTTTCTTTTTTGCTTCCCTTGACCGAGGTTGGGTTATGATATGGTTTAAAATAAGTAATTTGACGTCATTTTGACGTTATCGGTATAATATTGAATTTACTGACGGTACCCAATTCATCATTTTCCCCGAACTCCCCACTCCCACTCCCTCCCTTCATAAGCATTTGTAAAGCGAGTAACGGGTCCGATACAATCTTAAGGTTGGCCATCAGATTGATAATCTTGAACAGTAACGTCATGACTACATTACTGTTAATGCTAGTTTCAATGCTTTTATTAATTCGCTCAGTCAACCAAAATGTGACTCTGTGTTGAAGAAGCATCTCTAAAGCCGGGGGAGTACTCCTGGGAATTCTTGGTGGGCGTGTGCCACCCAGTTCTCCAAGTCCTGACCCTATTTCAGACCAAACAATGTCATTTTCAACACCCGTTTTCAGACCAGACCGCTAAACTCCACACCCGTTTTCAGACCTGGCCTTCTAGGCAGAAATTATGTCATCATTACTTAGATTAGAGCGCAAACAGAAAAATTCTTCAAATGCCTCTCGAATTCGCATATTTCTATTTCGTTCTTATTCATTTGGAATCGAAAGGATAACAAGGTTCGTAAACTCCAGTAGTTCCCTTGAAAACCATACCCGACTCTAGACCAAAATGGGCAAAGTCTATATACCTGCGATTTCGGACCAAGAAGGCCCAAAAACCCTACCCTTTGGGCGGCACGTACCGATATGGCTTATATAAGGGAGTACCCCCGCGCTCTAAGGCCACCTATTGTGACTACACTCTCTCTTCTTTAAATAGCAACCTCGTCTGGTATTCACAAGAAAGATCCAAACTCCTTCCTGTTCAGCCTTGTCAATCCAAATGGCTTAAAGCCCACCAAGATGGCTCTGATACCAGGGAAAGAGGAATATGCCATTTACTGTAGTAGTGGCAACCTTCCGATTTTTGGCAGCAGCAACAGTGGGTACTTTGACCTTTCACTTGGTAGTTCACCCAATTCGTCGAATAGTTGTTCGTCATACCTTAACAACTCGTACCGCTGCCCAGAAGGTCAAGGTTATAATACTTTTCTTGCTGGTAATTATGTTTTTTAAGTAAGCGAAATCGAAGTTTTCGCCTTTGAAAAGTAGATTAGGGAGACAACTGATCTGAAAAGCAATTTGACATGATAAGTTTAGTTTTTAATTGTGGCTTTCTTCCGATAAAATGTTAAAAACGGTAAAGCATTTAAACGAGAATAAAGCTTGCTTAAAAACGGAAGGTTCAGTGTCATTTTAACGCGTTTTACAGGACAACTAGCTTACTGAATCAAACGGCTGACCACGTACACAAGTTCTTAAAACATGGCTATAAATACTCATCATTTATAGATTCTTTTTTCAGCCTTTGGTCTGTTAATGGGACAATGAAAGTATCTGAAAGAGAAAAGGCTCAGTTCCAAAAACACTTTTAGGGGCTAGCTACGACTGATGGAGTGATATTTTAAATTGAAAACGTTTAACTGGATACCCTTAGTAAAACGATCTAAAATGATTATTTCTTTGATATTGATTTCCTCTTTCAGCTTGTCAACACGAAAAAAGCGTCCAATTTATGGTTTCTGTGGAAGTGTTATATACCGATGTATATAATACCTGACGTAGCCAAGAAATTTAGTTCGTTTTGTTTGTTGTTGTTTGTTTGTTTTATTTTAAGGGGATTGGGGAGACTAACAGCTTGTTTTTAACTTTTTAATTACAAATATTCAAAGCTTGGGTTGCCTGAAAAATTAAACCCCACCCCTTTTATTCCGCGTCCACATTTAGCAGTGATACTTAAGATTCAGACTTGTTTCCAGCGCTTTACCCTTAGAAAATGGGAAGGGAAAGGGTAGGTTGACCGCTGAAAATCGCTCTGCCTGCCTGTCGCCTTCACATTACTAAAAAAGGCCGAAGACGAAGACGGAGACAAAGTTTAGATGTTGTTTAACAATACCACATATAAGTCAGTGAGTCGAGTATTATCGTATTGGCTCAATACTGTCTGACTGTGACTGTGACTCTGTCTGACTGTGCGCATAGTCATGTAGGCATACTTACTTGTGACCAGGGAAAAAAAGACTTCGTCACTTCGTGATCACTTCGTCGCGGTGGTCCAGTGATACTTCGTAAATTCGACAAGCACAAATAAAGGAACAAGCACTATCATGATCGTCCAAGAAAGGATTGCAAACTGATTTAAGGAAATGTTATATTTTCTATTCAAGTTTGTTAAATGTAACTTTCATTCACAATATTTGATTCAAAGCTCTAAGTCGATACATTGCAGTAAATATGGCCTGATTTACGCACGTTTTCACTTGTTTATTGAGACTGGTAATAGTTACGTCCTTTAACGTTTCTCGGAATGTGTAACATAACATCCACTCGTCATTTATTAAGTCCTTGATTCAGTGAATTTATTATATGGCTACAATAGGACGCGCGCTCTAATTGGCGGCTATTACTAGCTAGGTGTCCAAGGCAATCAATCAAAAAGGCTATCCGCTGACCAGTGTCATATGACTGTATCACGGCCTGGGGGCTAAATAGGCCATATAATAAATAACTTATTGACCTCGCCCGTTCCGTCATTGGACCTTAGCCTTGATCTGTTGACCTCGCTATCGCTTGTACATTACGACTCCTTGTACTGAGAAAGTTTCACGTTGTAGCCCTATCACATCAACGGCCGGGCAAAGAAATGTACAGAAAACTGTGCTGCGCGAGCAAAGTTATTATTTGGCTAATAAGAAATATTGTTTTTGTCAGGGGGTGTTTTTTTTTTTGCTAATTTGTTTGTTTGATTTTTTTAATTGCCGTCGCTCGTTAGTATAGTAACGCTCAGAGCTTCGCTTTTAGCCCTGGCTAAATCTATATATTACAATTGTGAAATTTGGACTAAAACAATGATATACTGCCAAGTATATTATTTTGAACATAAACTGTTTGCTAAAGCCTCCTGGACCGTATCTGAAACCTCAGTGAAACACTGGCTTAATTTTCAGAAAAAAATTTACTCTTTAAGGAACGGACGTTAATATTAATTCCGTTAATTCGCCTAAATTACTTTCCGGGAATCAAAACTGCTGCTCAATGCAAAGAAAAATGAAAATCGCACATTGTTGATTAACCAATAGCCGCACAAAAGGTGAAAGACTCCAACCAATAAAAACAAAAAGAGCGGTATATGTAGTATAATGTTTCTTGTACGAGGGTACTTTCGCTTTCCAGTGTGTTGTTCCGGTTTCCGCAGTCGATTATTAAAAGCCAGCTTAAGAGTCGTTTTCTGTTTAGCAAGAGGAACAGAATGTCGTCTTCATCTCAAGACCCTGATGAAGAAACAGCTTCGAGCAGTGAAGCGCTTGGTGAAGTAAACAGACACATCAAGAAAGTGTTTGAGATTCTTGAGAGTGAAAAAGTAAAGCTTAGCAAGGAAATGGAAGCTTTTGATGCGGTGGCCAAGAAGCTGAAAAGCGTTCATTTCTCCAAAATGCTGAAACTGAATGTCGGCGGTAAAGTATTTGATACCAGTTTGGAAACTATGAAGAGTGATCCAGGTATGTATTTGTTCATTGCGTCGATCATTAAAAGATTAACCATGAAAATCAGGTGCCAATTAACTGCAAGGCGTCTGATTTCAATTGTATTCAGTGTAAAATATAGATTTTCGCTTTGATTCCCTAACCGAAGTGTTTGTTCGTTTATACTCGATAACAGGTTCAATGTTGTACGCCATGTTTTCCGGACGATTTGACTCCAAACCCGCTGAAGACGGTTCCTACTTCATTGATCGCGATGGAACTCACTTCCGTCTTATCCTGAACTACCTTCGCTCGGGGCAGCTTGTTCTTCCCGAAGATAAGATTCTTCGAAGAGAGTTGTTAACTGAAGCTGAGTTTTATCAGATTAAAGGGATTATTGATGAAATGAAGGTCTCCCCCTTTGAAAATTCCTCCATCCTGTCTGTAGAGCATCGCCAAATCTTGGCCAGCTGGTTGAAAGGCACCCTGACAAGCGCTTGTCACACCTACTCCCTGATATATCGAGCCTCTCGTGATGGCTGGGCTGCATCCAACTTTCACTCTTGCTGCGACCGCAAAGGACCAACTGTTACCGTTATTAAGTGTGGGAACTACATATTTGGAGGCTACACAGAGCAATATTGGGAAGGCAAGTTATTTTTGGAAAATATTTTTCTTTTTTATGAAGTTATTTAGCATTGTCTAAGTACCCATTCGATATCTATACCCAAGTGATTTCTCGGAATAATCAGTATCAGTTCTAAGTGGATTTATTGTTATGAGACGCTCTAAAACACAGACATTCGGGTTAAACCTTAAGAATTCTCCTTGGTTTACGGGACAGTTAGGAAAGCGTTGTGCGTGCCTTGATGGGCGCAATATACAATAACGTTAGTTTTCGTTTCTAACGGAGAGACACGAAAGCGATTCATTCGACCAAAAATATTGACATTTTTAAAATTTGCCTGTTGAAATTCGATACGCATGCTGCACCACGAAACACGAAAATTGGAAAATTCCGTGGTTAACTTAAGGCCGTATGGAAGGCGAAGAAAATTCCCGGTCCTCCTTGAAATTTGAAACCAAATAGTTGGTATGTTGCTGTTGAAGGGACCTTTGGATCGCTTTGGATCAAGTTCTTAAAGAGAGTGGGGGTAATGATCTCGTAGTTATTCAGGTGCCAACAATCCATCTTCATTCTAACTGCTACACCTGTCCACTCGAAGTTATTTCTAAAAGTGTAACTATATCATAAGTACTCTAACTGTGAACAGTAATTTTCTCGAAAATTTCATGTCTAATACTGTTGCATACAATGTTTTCGTCAGCTCTTTCAAGTGGAACGTATAAAAAAGCTCCAGCCTCCTTCCTGTTCAGTCTCGTCAATCCGAATGGCCTTGAACCTTCAATGATGTCTTTGATACAAGGAAAAGAGGGTTCGGCCATCCATTGCTACAGTAGCTATGGCCCTACATTTGGGGATGGTCCAGACCTCAGAATTGTCAACGCCCCAAATTCAAACAGCTGCAGTGCAAGTCTCAATAACACATACCAGCTACCGACAGGACAGAATGCTGGCACCTTCTTGACAGGAAATTCGAGTTTTACCTTAAGTGAAATGGAGGTCTTTAGGTTTGAAAACATCTACGCTTAGTGTAGCTAATGATATTTCGTTTCCTCTGGTAGTAGTACAGTAACAATTTCTTCCAAAAATTAGCACTTATTATTGCCCTTCAGTAGAAACTCGAGTCAAATGAATAGTCTTTGGTAACAAAATAATTAGTAATATATAGAAAAGAATAAGAACCATAAAAAAAGAGGAAAAATGAGGAACTTACTCTATGGTGAATCAAAGAGTTACATTCAGGGGCACCCAATGGATCTGTTCCTCAAAATATCTGTTCTTCATGCAAATTTTTGCTGGCTGGGAGATGTGGAAGAAATAATAGTCCTTGGAAGGAAAGTGTTGCTGGGAAAAAGATAATTCAGGGTGTCAGAGGGGATTTGAAGTCTAGAATAGCTGCTACGGGTTACTTGTATGGGTTGCTTACCACTCAAGATCTGAGTTGTGCCGTATGAAACTTCCCAGTATGTCAGGTTGCAGGTTGTAAGGTTGTTGGCTGGGAACTCTTCCATCAGTCTTGCTGGGAGTGAGGAACAGATAATTTTTTTCCAGCAATCTCCCAAAATGCTTAAAATAGTTTCAGAAAACTTTATTCACGCTTTGTTGTTGTTTTTAGGTCTTTTTCTCAAAATTTCCCGTTGGGTGCCCCTGTACATTATATAGCTTAGTAAACTAGCAGGAATGTTTTTTCAAGTCAACCTTCCTTGCAATCTTGAATCACTCGCTCACTTTCTAATTATTGGGCTTTATTTTTTTTGCTAAGAAAATCGGGCAAAACAAGCAGGAGGGTGTTAACATACTAAACGTAATAATTGCATTTATTATATGGAGGAGAGTGTTTTACTGGCAACTAAACCACTCGTAGATTCCATACGCCACTTCATCCGGGACCCGAGTGGCGTATTTTCCGTATGTCACCTTTGTGAGTGTCGTATCGTTCAATGACGTCACGATTCCCGCCTTTTGCTTTTGTTGAATTGGTTTCTCCATATAATAAAAAGAACATTACACGTTAGCTCGAAGATATGAATTTTATGTTCGAGTGGCAAGAACAATATCTCACTCGTTCGCTTCGCTCACTCGTGAGATATTGTTCTTGCCACTCGAACATAAAATTCATATCTTCTCGCCACCGTGTAATATCCTCTATTTATATTTCCTTGATGAACTAGTTATAATTATGGCGGTTTTACAGCACCCCTTGCAGAAGCGCAGATTTGATCGTGTCGTTCTTCTCTTCTGGGCGCACTCGTTGGGTAGGGAAAGTTGATCTACAACCTACCAAAGCACAAGGCCAGGTTGAAAGATTCTTTATCCTTGCGTAAGTTAAGTGTCAAAGTTGACTATGATCCTTAAAACCGATGACGTCACAAGTGAGATGTGGATCGAACGGGCGGTTATGGGCATTTCAAGATGGGTGAACAACCTTAGTTTCATTGCCTAAACCCTAAGAAGGGTGCCTGCAGCCCATTAACTTCTTCTATATGGTGCCGCCTTATGGATTCTCTACCACAGTAAGATCTTATACAATTTAACTTCTGGAATTTTTCAAAAACAAGCTGAAAGATTACTTTCCTTCTTTCGGCTCCCACGGGGCATATATCGCAGACACCAGCTGATTATTAGTTCATCTTCTTTGCATTTATTTTAGTTGATAATTGTAGCTTAAAGAAATTCATCTTTTATAATTATATAGTAAACTGATGATTTTCCGTGATGAATAAATGATTAAATTAATACAGTTTGGACTATGCCCTTTTCCGTTCGAACATGGTCCTCGGAAGGAAGGGGCAAGGGGGACCTTACCCCAACCCCACCCCATTTTTGGCAAAGTAAAGAAATAACAATTTCTTTAAGTTCTTCACTAAAAAAGTTTTTTTTTTACTTTAGACTAAGGATCTAGTTTTCACTCCCGTCCAAAACAGAGAATAATAGAGTCAGAGTAAGGATTGTACGTGAAGGTGCAAAATTTATTGTAAATGACGCTGTAGAAGTGTCTTTTTCGTGCTATCTGTAAACTGTCCGTACACTTCATGCCGCCACTTCATGCTTTTTGCGTGAGTGTGAGTTACCAAATACATAAAGAGGAGGCAATTAAAGTATTTATTACTTGCACCCTGTGGAACCGCCTCATAAGGACTGGGAAATGCAGGTAAAATCGCCGCTTTAAGTCGGACAAGAGCACAAAAAGGTCCATGTAACAGGCATTAACGAAACAATTTTTCTTTGGAATGAGTGAGAACGGGGGCTCTTTTTCCTCGATATGAACTCGCGTACGAACTATAAGTTGCCTCTGTTCGGAGGGTCATTGGCTGGATAACAGATCTTGCTATGAAACAAAATGTAAGGAGTCTGTACTGATCCCAGCACCGATGGAATTTATCGACTTTTGAAAACGCTGCAATAAATTACTTAGTTAAGCTACGGAAAGTACGAGCCGAAGAAAGAGCAATTATTTTTTCTTTGATTTCTTTGTTTTTTCTTCTTGTAACAGTTTTCGTTCAAGAAGGACGTATACGTAATGATCAAGTTTTATCTGTATCATGCAGCCCTTAATTTTATCCCGCAGATTTGTGAATCAAAAGGATTTTCATGATGTTGTAGACATCGGAAGATCAAGTTTATTAGCCCCACGTCATCCTTCGTAGTTTAGCTTATGAACAAGAAAAGCCGGAAGAGAGAGACAGAAATTTCAGGCTGTTCTTGAAAAGTGGAAAGCACCACTGCATTCAGTATCAATTCGTTTTTTGCTAGAAACATCGTAGTATTCTTATAATAGCTATACCTATTTGCATGACGAGCCAAAAGAACGTAACGTCTGCGTTGAAGGCTACGTTTGACCGGGATTAGAAAAGCCCTCGTATACCCCCCTCCCCCCCCCCCCCCCCCCCCTCCCGTCGCTTCTTGAATCCAGCCCCCCACGCACGCACACACACACACACACCCATACTTGCAAAACTGCTGGGCAGGCCCTATAACTGGCTAGTATCAATAACCAGGTGCAATATGTTTTGTTTAACCAAGACCTCATAGACTTGATTACGTATATTGGTATAGTTAAATATTCAATTAATTTTGCTTATTAAATCGAGGATTACGAAGCGGCATTTTAACAGCTTTGCGCGTACCTGCGAGTAAACATTTGCCCGGAGCTGAGACAAGTCGGCTGCGTTTTAAACGCATAATCCACGGCGGCACTCACAAGTCCGATATCAAGTTTATTAGTACGTAATATGTTATCATATTATTTGTGCGAATTACATAAATGATCATTATTTTTGCAAATGGACCCGAACCAAAGTCTAGTAATCTCCTTCAACCATGTTATTTTGCGACCAACGACAACATTGTGGAGCTAGCGTTTTACCTTCTCAAACATAATTTTACCCTGTTTACCAGTCGTTAATAATGCGATTAGCTGAAAGCCTGGGCCGAGACTTGGCGTGAGAAAAAGCAGTCGGTATTAAATCGAGTTTTAAGTGGATTTATATGATTGATATCCTACAGTCTCAAATCAGTACTCAAACTCACGAATTAACTTCAGGCTGTCTTATAAGTCTCCTAGTTTGTGAAGAACCTTTTACACCCACACGATTTGTTTGGAACACCAACATGGCGGCCACCGTTTCAATGTTTCTGGCGGGTGTGACGTCGGGTAAGAACCCCCTATATGCTTTACACTCACGTTTAGTTAAATGTTTAGTTAAATTTAAAGACACCTGATGATAATTATGAAAAATTGATTTGCATGACCCAAAGGTGGTCTTCGGGTTTCATTGTGGCCGCTGCCTCTTTTAAGTCCCCCCCACTCCACCCTCCTCCCCCGTTCCTCACCCATTTATAGGCCCGTCTAGCCGTGAACGCAAAAAAATTAATGCACTCGATTTGAAGCTTAATAAAAACCCAGTAAATGCAAAATGTATTTTGATCACCACTGCTGTAGCTTGTTTCAAAGGGAACACTCGTTATCGCTGCTGTCCTTGAAGGCTGTCTAGCAGCATTTGAGCGATTTTCTTTGACGTAATAAAATTACAAATGCAATGATTTTCCCTTTCTAACCAGTAGTAGTGATTTGTAATTGATATGATAGCAATAATAATAATAATAATCATAATAATAATGGTGATGATGATGGTAATAATAATAACACAATACATGGCATACATTATATCTATTATCGAGGGCAGGGAATGTGGGTCGACTAGCCTTTATCGGGGTAGTTACTAGAAGCGTTAACTTTATAATTATGATACGGTTGTCGGTGTTGGATTAACCAAGTGTGAGATTGACATGCCTGGATATTGGCCAAGTTCCTTTTTGGAGTTTTGTGAGACGAAGTCGAGGTCAGTAAAAATGAAAAAAAAGAACAAAGTAAATATCCAGCCACAGTTACCGAACAATCCTCGTTAATAAAGGATTTATTAAATGGCCAAAAAGAGAACTTTTTCTTTGCGGGACCAACACGGGTATATCCCAAGCGGGAAAGATGGGCTCATCTTGACAACTCGTGTAGCCAATCAGAACGCAGGATTTGCTTTATCTTGTCCGCTTGCGGATTCAGCCATATAATAACCTCCTTTAATCCTTTCTTGGCAATAAGGACTAATTAACCGCAATGAGGCAAGGTACAGGAGAGAATTTCAAGTTTTACTTGTGTCTGGTCATGGAACATTTAATGTCAAAGCAGCCACGCAAACTGTGAACTTGCATAATGATCGATTTCGTCTGCGTATTGTGTAGGACATTTTTAAACAGTAGCTCACAGGCGCTAATACAAATATGTATCTCAGCTTATCTCCATTTAAACCGGAACTGAGTCATCTCACACACCGTGTGCGACGCAATTAAAAGGGAGGGGGATCTCCTTCGCATAAATTCCTCTCTCGAAAACTAATTATAGCCTCTCATTAGAAAAGTATTTATCAGCACTCCAAATACTGATTGATAATCTAAGATCTGGGATCGCTTGAAAATAGCTATGTCGAATTATTAAGTACCAAGTATGTTACTTTCCTTGTTCGATTATCAGAATTGGTCTTATTTGTGTTCTTCTTGTTATGACATGCCGAGACACTTGGACCTCAAAACTGGTGACAAATGGCCGACGGGTTGAGGCCGAGTATAACTTTTAACCGTCATCTCCTGGAGAAAAAGGTATTTCATGCATAAGCCGAGTTTTCCCAAATGCATTGCGGTTGACTTTTTAAGCGCCGACAAGTTGCTTTTTAAACTTCTAAATACCACTGGCGCCAGTGCTTCGAGATAGGTGCAAAAAAGCCGATAACAAATGCTATACAACACTAAATAATATGAAAAAACTTTACGTTTCTCTGTACCGACCAGTTTAGTTGTCCGAGCGTTTGATGACTAAAAGACTCTCAGGTACGTATTGTTTCTACTAAGGTGCTTATTTTTCAAGGGTAATATCTATTTTTATTAAGGAGCAGTGAGAAAAGAAAAAGCCGTGATTTCCTTAGCTAGCTAATGGAGTCATATGCGACCACACCTAAATATCAACCGGTGCCTCTTGGAGAATTCCTCCTTCTGAATTCTCCTTTTGTTTTAACCTTCACTAACTATTATTTACAAAACCGGAAAAAACACGAACATTTAGTTCGTCTCATTATTACATTTAAATGACCTTTTATGCACATAGGCATAATTTCCATATTTATTTACCACGTATTTTCAAGTACGAAGTTGAGCCGGCGCCAGATGAGGGCCGTAGGGACATCAAACCCGTGTTGGTATGTCAGCAGTACAAAGTTTTCCCCTTCCTTTCCCGCCGTGAGAGACATATGAATGAAAATTCTCAGAACATGAAGAATTCGACAGAATTCTTATAACTATTACGTCTGATCCCTTACGTATAGTCCGAGGTCTGTTATGCGCTTAAAAGACTCTTTGGTGCATAATTTGGACTTAATACCAGTCTCATAAAGAGTTTCCCGGCAATAATGTTGGAGTAAAGATGTTCTGAACATGCCGCCAGTTTTTCACCAACAGTCATTTCATCTGATTTAGCTAAATGAAACCATTTTTTTAATGAAAAAATGTAAAGAGACTATGAACTCTCCTGTCCTTTTGAAATCATTTAGAGATGTAAACGGACTTGTGTTGTCAATTTCGAGAATAATAAGTAACAATCGTCAATAATTACTCTTGAACGCCTTTTTCCCTTAAATGTTTGTTTTGTTGAAATCGTTGGCTTTCGGTTCTTTTTCATGCAAAAATTGGACACAATGTTGTAAATTAGAAAAACAAACCTACGATAGAAAGTAATACCTCAAGGACCTGGTAACAAAAGGACGCAAAGTGATTTTCAATCAGCCATGGCGGATCTTTTTAAAGGCGATATAGCAGATGTTATCAATTGGCAATATATGCGTTTATCAGTAGTTATTTCATATGGGGCTGAAATCAAGCAAGCGTCTTAAAGTTAACTCAAATAGAATGCCGTTTTAGACTCGCCTACTTGGTTTACAGTCTTTTGTTGACTTAGATTCAAGGCTTTCAGCCGAAGACGTAGCTGGGTTTTTTTATACCAAGCGACTTATGGTGGTTGACTTTCCAGCGAAATTGGTCAATAACAATATTTATCCTATTAGTCAGAATAACCGGAAAAATTATTTCAACTCTAATTAGCGTCGGCTAGGTAACCTTAAACCTAGTTGACTTTGGTGAATAATAAAAAAGAAATACTCCGTATTTTTACATGCCAAACGCACGGTAGAAGCTTTTAAACAAATGGGGAAAAGCGGAAAGATTTAAGGTAAGCATTTGAGCTCAGTGAGGTTTTGAAGATATTAACAACTTTTCGTACTGACCTCCTACCGCTCATCAGTATTCTGAACTTTTCTCATTATTAGAAGTATCACCATTTCTATTATTATTGTTGTTAAATATCATCATCATAACTAACAATCATTTGTTAAGATCCGACTTTACCACATTGTACGTGAAAATCTCATCAAGTTTACAACAATCACTGCCAGCCATGAAATATATCCTTATACCTTAATTAATGAGTACGGTGCCCTTCGACATTACTAATATTTAAAATAGTTGCAGTTCAGAGATTCAAATTTGTTAAATATTCATGTTTTTGACACTTAAAGACAAGTTACGTAAAGAAGAATTGATTTTAATTATCCGAAAAGCACTTGGTTGATGTCATTCTCAGCTTATATACCTATAACTTACATTAGCAAGGCTGTTGAACGCATTTAGTCCATGGAAGCCATAAACAGGTCAATTTCGGGTCTTCAGAAGAGGTGAGTTATTTTAAAATGTTGCTACCCGCCTCAGAGGGAATTTCATGAGTGAGAAAAACTGTCAAGTGATCGTAAATTCGTATTTTTTTTTTCTTTATTACCAAATGAAATCACTAATTTCAACGGCAGCGATTGAAAAACAAAACAGCAGTTGGCAGAAAAAAGACAAAAAAAACTTAGTCGGCCAGAATATAGCTAAACGAGATGTAATTTTCATCGTCAACAAACTGGTTCGTCGGAACTGAGCGTATTGTTTTTCGTATCCATAACATTCACGTTGCTGGTCTTAAACTAACCACCAAAAAAAGACCGTGTTTGGCGCTTTATTAATCCAGTCATAAATTAAGACGACCGCAATTTGGCAAACAGTGCCGTTAGACTGGACTTGCTTAGCTTTGAGTCCCTTCGTAACACAGAGCCACAAAGCACTCGACTCGGTGACATCGTCTTTTTCTTACGCCCGTTTCCTAGTTTCTAATTGACCCGTTGCAGACCGACGTGGTCGCCCAGACAAAACACTAACATTTAACAATGCAGGCTTCCCGATCTCTTAGTGTTACTTATTGAAGGCAGCTGAAACCATTCGATTCGAAAGTTTGATTATTAATGAGATTCTTCTTGAAAGAGCTTAAGTTTGCTTTAGAAACGGACTCAATTCGTTTTTAAAATCGAACTCAAACAAGACTGTATTGAACGCCCGCCCCGAGGAACTGACAAAACAATAGCCGCATCTAAAAGTTTTTGCCCGCTTTGAGGAACATTTGCATAATGTTTGGACTTCTTGTTTGATCGTGCTGAAGGGAAGGAAATTCTGTAGCGAGTTTAAAGAGCAGGAAAATTATCAGTGTCAATGGATTGATTGAGAACTGCCGGTCTTTGGAAAGTTCATCTAAATTTACGTGTACCCTTAAATTTGAAGTGTGTCATCAACAGGAATTAATTTAAGGCAGCAAAGGGGATAAATGCGCGAAAAATTAAAAATTGGTATGAAAAGTGACAGGAAAGATATGATGGATTTCGATGATTTTTTTTTTAGGAAAAAGGAAAATAAACTTACCGGCAGGAACGATTAAAGGCCCGCTGGAGACCTGCTAAAAATGCTTTGTCCTAATGAGTTGCACAAATGTCTTGACGCTGCAGTCTTACAAAAAGCCCATCGACTTTAGCCGCGAAGCATTTCCATTCTTTAGTGATTTTCCATGCATGCATTATTGACGATTTGAAATCCCTTTTCAAGCTGAGCAATTAGTTTCTACATCAATAGGAGAAGACATGCCGGAAAGTGGAGATGGTAATTATAATAACAGATTTGCTCGGCTATCCTCTGTACTGTCGTATTTTTTTGCAGTAAATACCCAGCGCGCTAGACGAAATTTGAAATATGCAGGCATTTTCAAGAAGATCTTAAGCTTGTATGTTTACGGCAGATGATGAACGGTAGGAGAGTTATTACTTTAAAAAATCATGTTTATCTAATGCTCTTCTGTTGTTTCCTTTTCGACCACACGAATATCTTTTAAAGTTTAATTCTAAAAATCAGTTTCAAGAGATATCTACTGACTTGTATGGCCAGCGTGGATAACTACGTCTCAACTGCACACTGCTGATACCACTTATATATTATTGTCCTAATTGTCGACGTAAATTTACTCTTGAGGAAATATGCTGCTTCAAAATCCTGAAAATTTTTGAATATTGACCAATTATGATATCAAGGATGAGATTACGCTTGTTGCGGCCTGCTGTAAGAACCAACGTACTAGTTGAAGGAAATAACACTCTCGTCACATCAGTTTCACATCCTTAAGTTAATTGCTAGACTTACGAAAGTAGTTCTCCAGTGAAGCATTGAAAAAACAAAATTATCTTGACGCAGTGGGGGAGGAAGGGTAGGAAACTAGAGTACTAGAAGGCAGTCACGTGGAATATGAAAGGAACCTTTTTATCTTAATTATATTTTTTGTTTTCCTTTGTGTTCTTGTGACATGGAGGAGATACAGTAGCCATGATTACTAGTTTTCTCTTGTCATCACAGCTAGCGATAAATAACAAGAGTCAAATTTTCCCCTTAATTATGAAAGAAAAATTCGCTATGAAAGAGTATTTCAGCTCCCTTTGAATAATGCTGTACCATGCTTTCCACTTTTCCTGCATTGAGATCGATGCCCATGTATAATAAATGCTTTGAAAATTTACTTGTTTCATATTTAAATTAACATCATGTGAAGGGAGGAGGGGGCACTTTTATAGCAACAAGACGTAATCGATGTTTGTCCGGCCAAAGATGGGATATGTCCGAGCAAAAATAGGTTTGATCGGACAATTTGACCGGCTCCAGCCGGGAAATTATTTGCAGCCCTGCTGTCGAGTTTTATCTATTCATTTACTTACGTATTTGCTGATACATTTGCTTACAGCAGTAGTACTCAATAGTATATGAGTGTTAACTTTAAGACGATCGCAAATTGTAGCCGCAGGTGGACCTTTTCCACCTCGTATATTCAGTAGACAAACCAAACTAATGTGTGAATGAGAATTGGTGAATTCAGTTTGCAAGCGATACGCAGTAGATGCCGAGATCACCGTTCAAGCACTATCAAGCCAACTCTTGCAATAATCATTGGAATGTTCCTCTTTGATATCGGTATAGTCATCATTAGTCATTATTGTAGTGATCGCAATAAGTTTGAAATTTATCAAAACTATATCTCACTTTTATTTTTCTTGTGTATTTAGAGTGCACTGGATGACGAAGACAAAGAGGAGCAGAGTAACCTCTTCGACCCCGAAGGTCTACTGTTCTTTCCGATGCTGTATACTTGTGTGGGAATAACGGCCGTCTTTATTGTTGGTGGAGTGTTGTGGGACCTTCTTCACAAGTGCAGTCTTATCAAGAATAAAGGTTTGAATTCAGCCCGACAGATTTTGTTAGCCATCCAAACTTCCATTACCCTACGAGCATAGCCTTCTGTCGTCCTGAGGGGGAGGAGAAAGGGACGCTCTCATAATTAGCATTAGTATTTACCAAATCAGTGAATAGCAATTTTAGCGCGTTTTGATTGGTTCCCGTAACTCGGAATATCCTTGGCTATTCACTGTTTTGCGACCAGAGCCAATATGGCGTCTCGTTTTAAGACATTTTGGTAAGACGGAATTTGAGCGATAAATGAAGCAGTCGTACAAAGAAATACCAGTGACGAACGTTGGCTTGTCAGTGTTTACTGGTAGGTAGTAAATTATTTTCATGCTGAATTTGCGACAAAAGTGGTAAAAATCACTTGACAAAATCGCCGAAATGTTTGTAAATTGTAAACAAAAAAGTCCCTACCAAGTGGCGTTTTTAATTTACAGAAGTTATTTTCTTCATTTTTATCCAACTGATTTGGTAATACTAAAACAACTATCCCCCTCAGAGTATTCACCTCCCCCTCGTGGGATAGTTGTATAACATAGCAGTTTATGAGGGCGGACGTGTTTCTCTGATATTCGACTGGATTTCGACCAAGTGAATGTGTTTTCCCTTTTTTGCCGTTCAATCGTTTTGTACCGTTTTTTTTACTTCTTCGTTCATGTACGTGTTTTTCTTTCCTTTTCTTTCTTTGTTTGTCTTTTACATTGTTTTATACTTGTGTCTCCATGAAACAACCTCTTTTTAAAATATTCATAATTTATCTATAATGCCTCCTAGCTAAATTAGCTTTTTAGCTATTTTCAAGGTGTCTTGTCCCTTACATAATTGGTATTGCCTTTTTTATGTCTTTTTTTCTGTGTGTGGTTAAATAAAATTCTTGTCTTGTCTGGCTGAATCGCGTAAAGCTTTTGAAGTCGCCGTCTGCTGGTAGCCGCAGCCCCATGGAACTTCTGGATTTGTCAATCTTGTTTTCTCTCTTTAAACGGGTTTGATAAACCGTCAAACGGGTTTGATAAGTAATGGTAACAGGACTGAGTGGAGTCCAATTCGGTCTGTAATCATACGAGTGATTAACAAAATCGGACGACCGCGTAGCGGGAGTCCGATTTGTTTAATCACGAGTATGATTACAGACCGAATTGGACGACACGAAGTTCTGTTACCAATTAATCATAACTTTAACAAAATCTGTGATATAATAGGCTATTTTTTAAATCAAAACACAAGAAATTCGAAACTTTGTTTTTCTAGCAGTGAAAAAAAAAGCCATTTAAGGTCTTTAAGCGCGCGCGTGATGGCGCGTACTGTCCAATTACTTAGGCATGACGCGTACTGTCCTATTAAATTGTCCAATTAAGGCTGAAATCAGGGCAGTTGAGAGCCAATCAGATTTGACAATTTTGTTATAGTTATGATTAACCGTCAAACTGGTTTGATAAAACCGAGATGGTCATAACTGAGGCCGCTGCTTCACGCACACGGCTATTACAATTAAGCCTGAATTCGAAACTATATCCAAGCAACGTGCAATAGGGCATGCTCACAGAAAAGGTCTGATTCGATTCATGCAGAGTCTTTCTCAAGCGGAAGAAAGGCTCAGTTGGTAACCTGAACTTTCATGGGCAATGAATGAATGGCGTTCGGTATTGAATTAAAACTTTGTCCCAAAAGCGAAAATTCAACTGATGAACATGAAAAAATGAAAACTACGAGTGCCCAATTCCTTGTCATTATGCCGTGTTTTTTTTCTTTCGGTTACTGAATCGTGGCTAATCTGGGATCAGCCGTTTCGTCTTACCTTTAATTTTCACGTTCTAATTATCGCTATTCAGAAGTATCAGCTGAAGTATAGGAGTATATTTACAAATTAAATATTCCAGAGTTTTATTTAATTGAAAACAAAACACGATGAAGTAAGTCTAGTAATTTTGCCATGAAGCACGGAGTTAAGAAAATGATTATTAATAATGTTTTTCTTGTTTAAACATGTAATACATTAGAAGTTTGTACTTGTTTTCAGATACTGGCAGAATGCACAATATGACAGTTTCTTTCAAGAAAGGAAACCTGCTCAGTCGACGTGTCAAGTGTTATATAAGTAAAGAGAAGTTACAAGAACTTGAGGACAAAATTCAAGATGTCAATCGAACATTAGACGTCTTAAAGAATGAAATCGTAGTGGACAGAAGATTCACACACAAGAACCAAAATTGCAACGTGTGCCTCTAAATTTTGCAAGATGACGTTTTTTTTTCTTTGCTACATAAGACCATACCTTCAGGGGTGTGCTTTCTTGTGCAAATTAGAAGTAAGCCTCGCTGGGATGACCAAATTTAAATATAACTGAAAGGAAAAACTAAATGGGTTCTGGTCGTAGTATCGTGCAAATGGCCTATTTTGATGGATATTTGCCTCAAGATCATGGAAGTGCAAGGTGTGCAGGTCGGGGAAGCATGCTCTTTTGTGGACAGGACTGTCTCAATCTTCATCGAGTTTAGCACACCTTTCTCTAAGACTAGAGATAATCCAAGGAAACGTATACATTTCCCTGAGTGTAAAACAGTTCAGTGTCATAGATAACGTATTTTCTCAATTAAACCCCGTCGGCATTTGTTTTAAACTTGCCCTGCCAAACCCGAAATTTGTTGGAATCAGCAGTTTATGTCGGCTCGTTAGTGTTGCAAGAAATGGTTTTTCTTCTCCCGTTTTCTTAGCAGTCGTGTATTTTGCCTTTCAACTTTAAGTTTATTATGCGTAAATGTCCGAGGGACTTATTTTCAGCTTCCTGGTTTAGACACAACGTTTCCTCGGGGCACAGCGTTTAGTCGCGAAAATTAGGTTACGCTGTCTTGTCTGTAGGCGCCACGTTTAGTGAATGGTCGCGCTTTCGTATCTAAATTCGACGAGTTGAAATTTGTCCTTGTTTGTGCCCCTAAGCTACCCCAGCCATAGTTCTGATTAACCTTTCAAGCCCTGAGAAATCAGCATCAAATTTCCCTTGTAATGAACGGGTTTAAATCAGTTCATTAATAAAAGCCGGCATTTCAGAGCATTCCGTGTGCAAAGAGATTGAAGGAAACTGAATGTTAGCATTGTTTGGGAAACCTGATAAATCATTAAACCATGCAAGGCTTTTGAATAACGAAGCAATTTTACGATGAAAAAAACGATAAAACTGTTCAGTAATTGGCGCCAATTTTAAATGAAAATTGTTTGAAAAGAGCAACTTTTCATGTATTTCCAGAATAATAATAATAATAATAATTTAATAACTCATATAGCTCTATTTACATATGCTGATCAATAGTACTTTACAAAATAAAAAATGTATTTAAAAACACCATTAAATAGATAATAAATGCAGCTCTAAAAAAACGTCTTGAGGCTTGTTTTAAGCACAAAGTGTTCCATAGAGCCGGTGCGGCAAAAGTAAAAGGCTTGTTACCAGTGTTGGGCGCATTAACTCTCGTGGAGCTTCTAATCATAGGTTATTGTTCAAGTGTAATGTGTATGAGCTCTTGTGCTTAACCTAGTGAATCAAATATCACCATAGGATAGGATGGCGCCATTTGAAAGTAAGAATTAGAATCTAAAACTCGAGCTTGGGCTGCAAGGCGGGCCCATCAGTTACAAATTCTGTTCCGTTCGGTCGCCTGCGCCGATATCCGGTACTGTTAATTGTTTATGCACCCAGTCAGTAACTCAGAAGGCGTTGCGTGTTTCAAAACAAAGCATTTTTTCCCATTTCAGCGCAGTATATGCTGATCGCGATTGCCTTTTCATTTCTATATTTCCTTCTGTTTAATGCAGCACACGCCTTTACAGAAGTCGAAATTTCGGATAAAGGTAAAGAAGACTCGGACGATAATTTACCCTTCGAGAATTTCACACACAAGTTCAACAGCCTGCGAAGCTGGCGATTTCAGTTTGGCGAGAGGGCAAACTGAGCAGTGAAGAGAAAAAGCAAAGCGTTTATTAAGGAGTAAGGAAAGTCACTCACTAGTGTAGACTTTGGTGACTTTGCTTTCTAAAGCTTAAGCTTACAGTTGTTCTCAAATGGTCCAGAGTTTTCGCTTTTGTTAAATTCTGTATCTTGCTAAGAGCTAAGCTTTTAATAGCATTAAATTTGTGCATGACCTTGTTATGCTAATCTCGCAAGTTCTGGGTATTCTTCCCTTCAGTAAACATGACTGATTAGACGGTTTCGTTAAAACTTTGAAAGTTAACAGCTCGCTTTAAGTTTATCACCTGTATACATAGTTTTTGATCAGTGAAGGTATAAACTAAAGCCATCGAAGGTAGGAACTTAAAAAAAATCCTATATAGATCGATTTAACTCGAAAACTCGTATAACATAAGCTTGACTTAAACATGTACAAGACACTGTACTTCACTGAAGGTGTTTTCAATAAGTACACTGTAAATGTGACGGAGAAGCACAGTATTATATGAACCTTCCCTCTCCACGCGATTTTTGCACATTTTCCCCAAACAGAGAGCCTGTTCACAGGCTAATGAATGAAACATAGGGTTTCAATTAATGCATACAGTAAAACCATGCGTATAAGAACCTGGATTTTTTAATTTAGCCTTAACAGGTTCTTTTATAAATTTAGACTACCAAGGTTCTTAAAATAGGTTCTTATATTATCATATGAATTTCATTTAAGTATTATAAATATCATCTCATAATACAATACTGTACAGTGCAGGTATGTCCTTAACAAAACATAACAAACAAACTCATAGTCAGTTCTCTGAATGCCATTTCAAAGTTGATACACTTTTACAGCAACTCCACTGATAAGAACCTAACTTACAATTTTAGCCTTAATAGGTTGTTATGTGGAGGAGGCTTAAAATGAAAATTTTAGCTTAACAGGTTCTTAAAACCCAGGTTCTTATACACAGGGTTTTACTATAGTTAATTAAAGTGGAATGGTTATTTGGGAAACCCTTGGTCAAATGTTTTTGTTAGCTTTTTTGGACCTGACCGTGCACAACGTTCAATAGCATTCCTATCATGTTGAAGTTATTGACCAATAGAAACATTGCATTAATTTATTCAGTCATAATTTGTGAACAAAAACAAAGGATTGTGCACGGTCAGGGCCGCTTCCAACATAAACTGCAGCACCTTTGTTTTCAATTTTTATGTTTGTCGGCTTTCCTAACCAGTCTCCTCCACTAACTATGGTTACTGTAAAGGTTAATCATTGTGCATCGAGATAAATCGCTTGAACACAGAACAATTTAAGTTAGTGTAATCAGCACCATAACCCAGATTTAATTAAACAAGGTCACGAGCTATTGAATTTCAAGGTGCGCCAAACTTTATCGGGATATAAATAGTAGTTATGTCAAAAATAGCTTTCCTAGAATCTCACGGTGGATGATCGAGCGTCTTTAAAATAGGGTACTAGATTTTTCGAGAATAAATCACGTCTTTCCAAGAATACTTGAGAAATACAAAAACTTTGAAGAAAGCAGAAACTGGACAGATACTCTTTGCTACCATATGTGACAGTTAAGCTTAACCTGAGGCCTGCGAAAACCGCGCAGCGAGAAGTGAGGGCTATTTTCACTAGCTTTCTTGGGGCTATGCTGTTTTGCGTGCAGCAAAAGCCTTGAAATTCAAAAGTGTTCTATAGCAACCGAAAAACCCTATCGAACTGTGAAATATAAGGCTCCCTCAAGAGGAATTGACAATTTTTTTATGCAGAATTTTGTTTTTATACGTTAAATGCAAATTAAACCGTAAACAATCAATTGGTATACAATAGAGCATGGGGTTGAAACAAAGGCGGCCTTTCCCTGTTTCCTAGAATAATCTTGACTTTCCAAGAATAGAACTATTCGGCTAACTCAATGTTGTGCTGCGGAACCCCGTTAATGCGACCACCGTTGGGCCATAAAATCCTGGTCGTAACAACTAGGTGGTCGCATTAACGGGGTCTTCAAAATAATAAAATGACTCAATGGTTTCTACGTTTGGTTTGAAAGAATATGGCCGTAATGACGAGGTGGTCTTGTAAACGGGGTGGTCGTAAGGCGGGGTTCCACTGTACCCAATTCAAACCCTTTGGGAATAAAACGTTTTGTTTCAGGAATTTCCATATCATTTAAATGTGAATGCCACATTATAATGCAAATACAATACACAAAGAATCTTATCCCCGGAAGATTTGAATTGGGTACAACATTGAGTTAGCCGAATAGGTCTATCGAGTGGCAGGGAAAACACAATCACGCTTGAGCGATTTAACCAATTGCTATCAATATACGGACAACTTCAGCCAATCATCGAACATGTGACTCCCATAAGAAGGCCGGAGTCTATGCGTTTTCTACTGTTCTTTTCATAGTTCCTTGTCAGTCGCGAAGTAAATTTTTGTATTCTTTACAAGAAGGAATAAGCATGACTTCATCAGCGTCGTCCAAAAACGTGGAAGAAGATGTTTTGGAAGAAGAAAGTGATGGAGCTCTCGAAGAAGTGAACAGCCACATCAAATCAGTTTTTGAAATTCTCAAAAGCGAGACAATCAAAGTTCGCAAGGAAATGAAGGCTTTCGATACAATGGCAAAAAAGCTTAAGCACGTTCATTTTTCTAAAACGTTGAAACTTAATGTTGGCGGCCAGTTATTCTCTACCAGTTTGGAAACTATGAGGAAAGATCCAGGTAAATCAGCTCCATGCATGTCTTGCATGCGTGCACCATTTTCGAAGTCAATAACTTTTTTGAATAACCCCTTCGAAATGTGGTTAATTTTTAGGAATATACATTTTCGAAGAGGCTGCTGGAATGTGTCTTTTTTATGTGTGTTTCCTCTGCGAAAAGCGCAGGCGGTGTGTTTTCTCAGTTCGCCTAATAAAGAACCGAAACTAGACAGGATATAATAGTTACCGCAAAATTTTGATTTTCTTTGTTAGGTTCGATGTTGCACGCCATGTTTTCAGGCCGATTTGATTCAAAGCCTGCTGAAGATGGTTCGTACTTCATTGATCGCGATGGAACTCACTTCCGGTATATTCTGAACTACCTTCGAACAGGGCAGCTTGTTGTTCCAGAAGACAAGATAGTTCGCAGGGAGTTGTTAACTGAAGCTGAGTTCTATCAAGTCCAAGGAATTATCGATGAACTTAAGGCCTATCCCTTTCAAGATTCGAGCATTTTGTCCACGGAACAGCGTCAAACCCTGACTAAATGGTTGAAAAAAAAGCTGACAAGTGCCAGTTGCACTTATACGCTGATATATCGCGGTTCACGTGATGGTTGGGGAGCCTCTAACTTTCATTCTCGCTGTGATCGCAAAGGACCAACGGTGACTGTTGTCAGAAGTTCGAATGGTTACATATTCGGAGGCTACACAGAACAACATTGGGAAGGTAAGTTTCCTTAAACTTTCGTGAAGTAATATGGGAAATCATTGCTTTGGATGAATTGGCTTCAAGGCTTCTAAAAATCATATAATGTCTACCTCAACCCTGCTCAGACCAGATTTTTGTTTTGTTTTGTTTTTCTCTTTTTTGCTTCCCTTGACCGAGGTTGGGTTATGATATGGTTTAAAATAAGTAATTTGACGTCATTTTGAAGTTATCGGTATAATATTGAATTTACTGACTGTACCCAATTCATCATTTTCCCCGAACTCCCCACTCCCACTCCCTCCCTTCATAAGCATTTGTAAAGCGAGTAACGGGTCCGATACAATCGGTTGGCCATCAGATTGATAATCTTGAACAGTAACGTCATGACTACATTACTTTTAATGCTAGTTTCAATGCTTTTATTAATTCGCTCAGTCAACCAAAATGTGACTCTGTGTTGAAGAAGCATCTCTAAAGCCGGGGGGAGTACTCCTGGGAATTCTTGGTGGGCGTGTGCCACCCAGTTCTCCAAGTCCTGACCCTATTTCAGACCAAACAATGTCATTTTCAACACCCGTTTTCAGACCAGACCGCTTAACTCCACACCCGTTTTCAGACCTGGCCTTTTAGGCAGAAATTATGTCATCATTACTTAGATTAGAGCGCAAACAAAAAAATTCTTCAAATGCCTCTCGAATTCGCATATTTCTATTTCGTCAGTTATTCATTTGGAATCGAAAGGATAACAAGGTTCGTAAACTCCAGTAGTTCCCTTGAAAACCATACCCGATTCTAGACCAAAATGGGCAAAGTCTATACCTGCGATTTCAGACCAAGAAGGCCCAAGAACCCTACCCTTTGGGCGGCACGTACCGATATGGCTTATATAAGGGAGTACCCCCCGCGCTCTAAGGCCGCCTATTGTGACTACACTCTCTCTTCTTTAAATAGCAACCTCGTCTGGTATTCACAAGAAAGATCCAAACTCCTTCCTGTTCAGCCTTGTCAATCCAAATGGCTTAAAGCCCACCAAGATGGCTCTGATACCAGGGAAAGAGGAATATGCCATTTTCTGTAGTAGTGGCAACCTTCCGATTTTTGGCAGCAGCAACAGTGGGTACTTTGACCTTTCACTTGGCAGTTCACCCACTTCGTCGGATAGTTGTTCGTCATACCTTAACAACTCGTACCGCTGCCCAGAAGGTCAAGGTTATAATACTTTTCTTGCTGGTAATTATGTTTTTTATGTAAGCGAAATCGAAGTTTTCGCCTTTGAAAAGTAGATTAGGGAGAGAACTGATCTGAAAAGTAATTTGACATGATAAGTTTAGTTTTTAATTGTGGCTTTCTTCCGATAAAATGTTATAGAAAATTGTAAAATCTGCAAACGGTAAAGCATTTAAACGAGAATAAAGCTTGCTTAAAAACGGAAGGTTCAGTGTCATTTTAACGCGTTTTACAGGACAACTAGCTTACTGAATCAAACGGCTGACCACGTACACAAGTTCTTAAAACATGGCTATAAATACTCATCATTTATAGATTCTTTTTTCAGCCTTTGGTCTGTTAATGAGACGATGAAAGTATCTGAAAGAGAAAAGACTCAGTTCCAAAAACACTTTTAGGGGCTAGCTACGACTGATGGAGTGATATTTTAAATTGAAAACGTTTAACTGGATACCCTTAGTAAAACGATCTAAAATTATTATTTCTTTGATATTGATTTCCTCTTTCAGCTTGTCAACACGAAAAAAACGTTCAATTTATGGTTTCTGTGGAAGTGTGATATACCGATGTATATAATACCTGACGTAGCCAAGAAATTTTGTTTTGTTTGTCGTTGTTTGTTTGTTTTATTTTAAGGGGATTGGGGAGACTAACAGCTTGTTTTTAACTTAATTACATATATTCAAAGCTTGGGCTGCCTGAAAAATTAAACCCCACCCCTTTTATTCCGCGTCCACATTTAGTAGTGATACTTAAGATTCAAACTTGTTTCTTTACCCTTAGAAAATGGGAAGGGAAAGGGTAGGTTGACCGCTTAAAATCGCTCTGCCTGCCTCTCGCCTTCACATTACTAAAAAAGGCCGAAGACGAAGACGGAGACAAAGTTTAGATTTTGTTTAACAATACCACATATAAGTCAATGAGTCGAGTATTAGCGTATTGGCTCAATACTGTCTGAAAAATGTTACTACACTGTGTGCATAGTCATGTAGGCATACTTACTTGTGACCAGGGGAAAAAAAGACTTCGTCACTTCGTGATCACTTCGTCGCGGTGGTCCAGTGATACTTCGTTCGACAAGTACAAATAAAGGAACAAGCACTATCATGATCGTCCAAGAAAGGATTGCAAACTGATTTAAGGAAATGTTATATTTTCTATTCAAGTTTATTAAATGTAGCTTTCATTCACAATATTTGATTCAAAGCTCTAAGTCGATACATTGCAGTAAATATGGCCTGATTTACGCACGTTTTCACTTGTTTATTGAGACTGGTAATAGTTACGTCCTTTAACGTTTCTCGGAATGTGTAACATAACATCCACTCGTCATTTAAGTCCTTGATTCAGTGAATTTATTATATGGCTACAATAGGACGCGCGCTCTAATTGGCGGCTATTACTAGCTAGGTGTCCAAGGCAATCAATCAAAAAGGCTATCCGCTGACCAGTGTCACATGACTGTATCACGGCCTGGGGGCTAAATAGGCCATATAATAAATAACTTATTGACCTCGCCCGTTCCGTCATTGGACCTTAGCCTTGATCTGTTGACCTCGCTATCGCTTGTACATTACGACTCCTTGTACTGAGAAAGTTTCACGTTGTAGTCCTATCACATCAACGGCCGGGCAAAGAAATGTACAAAAAACTGTGCTGCACGGGCAAAGTTATTCTTTGGCCAATAAGAAATATTGTTTTTGTCAGGGTTTGTTTCTTTTTTCGCTAATTTGTTTGTTTGATTTTTTTAATGGCCGTCACTCGTTAGCATTACACGATTTGTGTGTGTGTGTGTGTGTGTGTGTAGTAGATTATAAGTATAGTAACTTATAGTAACGCTCAGAGCTTCGCTTTTAGCCCTGGCTAAATCTATATATTACATTTTTGAAATCTGGACTAAAACAATAATATACTGTTAAGTATATTTGGACATAAACTGTTTGCTAAAGCCTTGTGGACCGTATCTGAATGCCTCAGTGAAACACTGGCTTCCTTTCCGGAAAAAATCTACTCTTTAAGGAATGGACGTTAATATTAATTCCGTTAATTCGCCTAAATTACTTTCTGGGAATCAAAACAGCTGCTCAATGCGAAGTAAAATGAAAATCGCACATTGTTGATTAACCAATAGCCGCACAAAAGGTGAAAGACTCCAACCAATAAAAACAAAAAGAGTGGTATACGTAGTATAAAGTTTATTGTACGAGGGTACTTTCGCTTTCTAGTGTGTTGTTCCGGTTTGCGCAGTCGATTATTAAAAGCCAGCTTGAAAGTTGCTTTCTGTGTAGAAAGAGGAACAGAATGTCGTCTTCATCTCGAGACCCTGAGGAAGAAACAGCTTCTAGCAGTGAAGCGCTTGATGAAGTAAACAGACACATCAAGAAAGTGTTTGAGATTCTTGAGAGTGAAAAAGTAAAGCTTAGCAAGGAAATGGAAGCTTTTGATGCGGTGGCCAAGAAGCTGAAAAGCGTTCATTTCTCCAAAATGCTGAAACTGAATGTCGGTGGTAAAGTATTTGATACCAGTTTGGAAACTATGAAGAGTGATCCAGGTATGTATTTGTTAATTGCGTCGATCACTAAAAGATTTACCATAAAAATTCGAGGTGCAATTGACTGCAAGGCGTCTGATTTCAATTGCGTTCAGTGTAAAATATAGATTTTCGCTTTGATTCCCTAACCGAGGTGTTTTTTCGTTTATACTCGATAACAGGTTCAATGTTGTACGCCATGTTTTCCGGCCGATTTGACTCCAAACCCGCTGAAGACGGATGTTACTTCATTGATCGCGATGGAACTCACTTCCGTCTTATCCTGAACTACCTTCGCTCGGGGCAGCTTGTTCTTCCCGAAGATAAGATTCTTCGAAGAGAGTTGTTAACTGAAGCTGAGTTTTATCAAATTAAAGGAATTATTGATGAAATGAAGGTCTCCCCCTTTGAAAATTCCTCCATCCTGTCTGTAGAGCATCGCCAAATCTTGGCCAGCTGGTTGAAAGGCACCCTGACAAGCGCTTGTCACACCTACTCCCTGATATATCGAGCCTCTCGTGATGGCTGGGCTGCCTCCAACTTTCACTCTTGCTGCGACCGCAAAGGACCAACTGTTACCGTTATCAAGTGTGGGAACTACATATTTGGAGGCTACACAGAGCAATATTGGGAAGGCAAGTTATTTTTGGAAAATATTTTGCTTTTTTATGAAGTTATTTAGCATTGTCTAAGTACCCATTCGATATCTATACCCAAGTGATTTCCCGGTATAATTCGTATCAGTTCTAAGTGGATTTATTGTTATTAGACGCTCTAAAACACAGACATTCGGGTTAAACCTTAAGAATTCTCCTTGGTTTACGGGACAGTTAGGAAAGCGTTGTGCGTGCCTTGACGCGCGCAATATACAATAACGTTAGTTTTCGTTTCTAACAGAGAGACACGAAAGCGATTCATTCGACCAAAAATATTGACATTTTCAAAATTTGCCTGTCAAAATTCGATCAATACGCATACTGCACCACGAAACACGAAAACTGGAAAATTCCGTGGTTAACTTAAAGCAGTATGGAAGGCGAAGAAAATTCCCGGTCCTCCTTGAAATTTGAAACCAAATAGTTGGTATGTTGCTGTTGAAGGGACCTTTGGATCGCTTAAGATCAAGTTCTTAAAGAGAGTGGGGGTAATGATTTCGTAGTCATTCAGGTGCCAACAATCCATCTTCATTCTAACTGCTACACCTGTCCACTCGAAGTTATTTCTAAAAGTGTAACTATATCATAAGTACTCTAACTGTGAACAGTAATTTTCTCGAAAATTTCATGTCTAATACTGTTGCATACAATGTTTTCGTCAGCTCTTTCAAGTGGAACGTATAAAAAAGCTCCAGCCTCCTTCCTGTTCAGTCTCGTCAATCCGAATGGCCTTGAACCTTCAATGATGTCTTTGATACAAGGAAAAGAGGGTTCGGCCATCCATTGCTACAGTAGCTATGGCCCTACATTTGGAGATGGTCCAGACCTCAGAATTGTCAACGCCCCAAATTCAAACAGCTGCAGTGCAAGTCTCAATAACACATACCAGCTACCGACAGGACAGAATGCTGGCACCTTCTTGACAGGAAATTCGAGTTTTACCTTAAGTGAAATGGAGGTCTTTAGGTTTGAAAACATCTACGCTTAGTGTAGCTAATGATATTTCGTTTCCTCTGGTAGTAGTACAGTAATAATTTCTTCCAAAAATTGGCACTTATTATTGCCCTTCAGTAGAAACTCGAGTCAAATGAATAGTCTTTGGTAACAAAATAATTAGTAATATATAGAAAAGAATAAGAACCATAAAAAAAGAAGAAAAATGAGGAACTTACTCTATGGTGAATCAAAGAGTTACATTATATAGCTTAGTAAACTAGCAGGAATGTTTTTCAAGTCCACTTTCCTTGCAATCTTCAATCACTCGCTCACTTTCTAATTATTGGGATTTATCTTTTTGCTAAGAAATTCGGGCAAAACAAGCAGGAGGGTGATAACAGACTAAAAGTAATAATTCCATTTATATTTTCTTGATGAACTAGTTATAGTTATGGCGGTTTTACAGCACCCCTTGCGGAAGCGCAGATTTGATAGTGTCGTTCTTCTCTTCTGGGCGCACTTGTTGGGTAGGGAAAGTTGATCTCCAACCTACCAAAGCACATGGCCAGGTTGAAAGATTCTTTATCCTTGCGTAAGTTAAGTGTCAAAGTTGACTATGATCCTTAAAACCGATGACGTCACAAGTAAGACGTGGATCTAACGGGCGGTTATGGGCATTTCAAGATGGGTGAACAACCTTAGTTTCATTGCCTAAACCCTAAGAAGGGTGCCTGCAGCCCATTAACTTCTTCTATATGGTGCCGCCTTATGGATTCTCTACCACAGTATGATCTTATACAATTTAACTTCTGGGATTTTTCAAAAACAAGCTGAAAGATTACTTTCCTTCTTTCGGCTCCCACGGGGCATTTATCGCAGACACCAGCTGATTATTAGTTCATCTTCTTTGCATTTATTTTAGTTGATAATTGTAGCTTAAAGAAATTCATCTTTTATAATTATATAGTAAACTGATGATTTTCCGTGATGAATAAATGAATAAATTAATACAGTGTGGACTATGCCCTTTTCCGTTCGAACATGGTCCTCGGAGGGGAGGGGCAAGGGGGACCTTACCCCAACCCCACCCCATTTTTGGCAAAGTAAAGAAATAATAATTTCTTTAAGTTCTTCACTAAAAAAGTTTTTTTTTTACTTTAGACTAAGGATCTAGTTTTCACTCCCGTCCAAAACAGAGAATAATAGAGTCAGAGTAAGGATTGTACGTGAAGGTGCAAAATTTATTGTAAATGACGCTGTAGAAGTGTCTTTTTCGTGCTATCTGTAAACTGTCCGTACACTTCATGCCGCCACTTCATGCTTTTTGCGTGAGTGTGAGTTACCAAATACATAAAGAGGAGGCAATTAAAGTATTTATTACTTGCACCCTGTGGAACCGCCTCATAAGGACTGGGAAATGCAGGTAAAATCGCCGCTTTAAGTCGGACAAGAGCACAAAAAGGTCCATGTAACAGGCATTAACGAAACAATTTTTCTTTGGAATGAGTGAGAACGGGGCCTCTTTTTCCTCGATATGAACTCGCGTACGAACTATAAGTTGCCTCTGTTCGGAGGGTCATTGGCTGGATAACAGATCTTGCTATGAAACAAAATGTAAGGAGTCTGTACTGATTCCAGCACCGATGGAATTTATCGACTTTTGAAAACGCTGCAATAAATTACTTAGTTAAGCTACGGAAAGTACGAGCCGAAGAAAGAGCAATTATTTTTTCTTTGATTTCTTTGTTTTTTCTTCTTGTAACAGTTTTCGTTCAAGAAGGACGTATACGTAATGATCAAGTCTTATCTGTATCATGCAGCCCTTAATTCTATCCCGCAGATTTGTGAATAAAAAGGTTTTTCATGATGTTGTAGACATCGGAAGATCAAGTTTATTAGCCCCACGTCATCCTTCGTAGTTTAGCTTATGAACAAGAAAAGCCGGAAGAGAAAGATAGAAATTTCAGGCTGTTCTTGAAAAGTGGAAAGCACCACTGCATTCAGTATCAATTCGTTTTTTGCTAGAAACATCGTAGTATTCTTATAATAGCTATACCTATTTGCATGACGAGCCAAAAGAACGTAACGTCTGCGTTGGAGGCTACATTTGACCGGGATTAGAAAAGCCCTCGTATTCCCCTCCCGCCCCCCCCGCCGCTTCTTGAATCCAGCCCCCCCCGCACGCGCACACACACACCCACTTGAAAAACTGCTGCTCAGGCCCTATAACTAGTTAGTATCAATAATCAGGTGCAATATGTTTTGTTTAACCAAGACCTGATAGACTTGATTACGTATATTGGTATAGTTAAATATTCAATTAATTTTGCTAATCAAATCGAGGATTACGAAGCATTTTACCAGCTTTGCGCGTACCTGCGAGTAAACATTTGCGAGTAAACATTTGCCCGGAGACCAGTCGGCTGCGTTTTAAACGCATAATCCACGGCGGCACTCACAAGTCCGATATCAAGTTTATTAGTACGTAATATGTTATCATATTATTTGTGCGAATTACATAAATGATCATTATTTTTGCAAATCGACCCGAACCAAAGTCTAGTAATCTCCTTCAACCATGCTATTTTTCGACCAACGACGACATTGTGGAGCTAGCGTTTTACCTTCTCAAACATAATTTTACCCTGTTTACCAGTCGTTAATAATGCGACTAGCTGAAAGCCTAGGCCGACACTTGGCGTAAGAAAAAGCAATCGGTATTAAATCGAGTTTTAAGTGCGTTTTATATGATTGATATCCTGCAGTCTCAAATCAGTACTCAAACTCACGAATTAACCTCAGGCTGTCTTATAAGTCTCCTAGTTTGTGAAGAACCTTTTACCCCCACACGATTTGTTTGGAACACCAACATGGCGGCCACCGTTTCAATGTTTCTGGCGGGTGTGACGTCGGGTAAGAACCCCCTATATGCTTTACACTCACGTTTAGTTAAATGTTTAGTTAAATTTAAAGACACCTGATGATAATTATGAAAAATTGATTTGCATGACCCAAAGGTGGTCTTCGGGTTTCATTGTGGCCGCTGCCTCTTTTAAGTCCCCCCCCCCACTCCACCCTCCTCCCCCGTTCCTCACCCATTTATAGGCCCGTCTAGCCGTGAACGCAAAAAATGCACTCGATTTGAAGCTTAATAAAAACCCAGTAAATGCAAAATGTATTTTGATCACCACTGCTGTAGCTTGTTTCAAAGGGAACACTCGTTATCGCTGCTGTCCTTGAAGGCTGTCTAGCAGCATTTGAGCGATTTTCTTTGACGTAATAAAATTACAAATGCAATGATTTTCCCTTTCTGACCAGTAGTAGTGATTTGTAATTGATATGATAGCAATAATAATAATAATAATCATAATAATAATGGTGATGATGATGGTAATAATAATAACACAATACATGGCATACATTATATCTATTATCGAGGGCAGGGAATGTGGGTCGACTAGCCTTTATCGGGGTAGTTACTAGAAGCGTTAACTTTATAATTATGATACGGTTGTCGGTGTTGGATTAACCAAGTGTGAGATTGACATGCCTGGATATTGGCCAAGTTCCTTTTTGGAGTTTTGTGAGACGAAGTCGAGGTCAGTAAAAATGAAAAAAAAGAACAAAGTAAATATCCAGCCACAGTTACCGAACAATCCTCGTTAATAAAGGATTTATTAAATGGCCAAAAAGAGAACTTTTTCGTTGCGGGACCAACACGGGTATATCCCAAGCGGGAAAGATGGGCCCATCTTGACAACTCGTGTAGCCAATCAGAACGCAGGATTTGCTTTATCTTGTCCGCTTGCGGATTCAGCCATATAATAACCTCCTTTAATCCTTTCTTGGCAATAAGGACTAATTAACCGCAACGAGGCAAGGTACAGGAGAGAATTTCAAGTTTTACTTGTGTCTGGTCATGGAACATTTAATGTCAAAGCAGCCACGCAAACTGTGAACTTGCATAATGATCGATTTCATCTGCGTATTGTGTAGGACATTTTTAAACAGTAGCTCACAGGGGCTAATACAAATATGTATCTCAGCTTATCTCCATTTAAACCGGAACTGAGTCATCTCACACACCGTGTGCGACGCAATTAAATAGGAGGGGGATCTCCTTCGCATAAATTCCTCTCTCGAAAACTAATTATAGCCTCTCATTAGAAAAGTATTTATCAGCACTCCAAATACTGATTGATAATCTAAGATCTGGGATCGCTTGAAAATAGCTATGTCGAATTATTAAGTACCAAGTATGTTACTTTCCTTGGTCGATTATCAGAATTGGTTTTATTTGTGTTCTTCTTGCTATGACATGCCGAGACACTTGGACCTCAAAAGTGGTGACAAATGGCCGACGGGTTGTGGCCGAGTATAACTTTTAACCGTCATCTCCTGGAGAAAAAGGTATTTCATGCATAAGCCGAGTTTTCCCAAATGTATTGCGGTTGACTTTTTAAGCGCCGACAAGTTGCTTTTTAAACTTCTAAATACCACTGGCGCCAGTACTTCGAGATAGGTGCAAAAAACCGATAACAAATGCTATACAACACTAAATAATATGAAAAAACTTTACGTTCTCCTGTACCGACCAGTTTAGTTGTCTGGGCGTTTGATGACTAAAAAAGACTCTTAGGTACGTATTGTTTCTACTAAGGTGCTTATTTTTCAAGGGTAATATCTATTTTTATTAAGGAGCAGTGAGAAAAGAAAAAGCCGTGATTTCCTTAGCTAGCTAGTGGAGTCATATGCGACCACACCTAAATATCAACCGGTGCCTCTTGGAGAATTCCTCCTTCTGAATTCTCCTTTTGTTTTAACCTTCACTAACTATTATTTACAAAACCGGAAAAAACACGAACATTTAGTTCGTCTCATTATTGCATTTAAATGACCTTTTATGCACATAGGCATAATTTCCATATTTATTTACCACGTATTTTCAAGTACGAAGTTGAGCCAGCGCCAGATGAAGGCCGTAGGGACATCAAACCCGTGTTGGTATGTCAGCAGTACAAAGTTTTCCCCTTCCTTTCCCGCCGTGAGAGA